GATCACACTGATCACGAGCAACAAAGCGGCGGCTCTGACGTTGACGAACCCGCGACAACAGTCGGGCCAGGGATTTGTCTGTCAAATCTACAAGTTGATGAGAAGACTGCAGAAACATGGAAACCACATCAACGTCCAGTGGATCCCCACTAGCGAAGACAACAAACTACTTGGTCTGGCGAAAGAGCAGGCGAGAGCCGCGACACAAGAAGATGCCATCCCGCAAGTACAGGTTCCCAAAATGAAATCAACGACTCTCAAGATTGCGAGCACCCAAGCAATCCCCAGCCGCAAGCTGCCCGAAAACGTAGGGAGACACTCCCGTCGAGTGGATACCGCACTCCCAGGAAAACACACGCGACAGCTGTATGACCGATTATCGTGGAAAGAGGCGAGCGTGCTGGCTCAGCTCCGCACCGGCATGGCGAGACTCAATGGATATCTCTTTCGAATCAATGCCGCCGAGACAGATCAATGTGCATGCGGACAAGCAAGAGAAACGGTGGACCACTTTCTCTTTCGATGTCGGAAGTGGACCACACACCGGACGATTATGTTACAATGTACCGATACACACCGAGGGAACTTGTCCTTCTTCCTGGGAGGGAAGTCACCCTCCGATGATCAAAAGTGGAAGCCGAACGTGGAAGCAGTGCGAGCGTCAATACGATTCGCCATCGCCACGGGCCGACTTGAGGCCACCTAGACCTGCCGACGAGCTGATAGAAAAACTCACCTTACTAACCCCGACACCTTGTGATCGACGGTAGACGCGCTTCAACTACCGAAGATAGGATGTTGAACACTTGAAGAAGCGCCTTCAAGCCAGTCTACTAACCAATACTAACCACAGGGACCAACCATGAGATTGAAAGCTGAAATGGCAAATACGGAAGGAAATACTGTATGGGCTCCAAGGAGACACGGCGTATACCCAAACATGCATGTATTGGTAGATCAGTGATAGTTGCCCTCTCGGCTCCGCCGCCGGGCGTTAATGAATTGTGTGTGTGTGTGTGTACTGTAGATAGTTACTAGGCAAGTTGTGACGTACGCAGCATTTCCCCAATATTGGGGTTGCCAATCTCAGCGAATAGACCCCAATTCCCCGCATTGATCACTGCGCTACTCAAGTCATTTAGCCGACTTGGTGTTGGTCACTAAATAAATCCAACCCCGTGGAGAGACCTAGCAACATCTCCTATTCACAATCGAGAACATAAACTGCATTTTATTTCACGTTGATATGGCCAACATTGCAGCGGATTCCATCGGGTTCATTGGCCTTGGGGCTATGGGGATGTGGATGGCAGTCCACCTGGCGGAGAAACTCCCAGAATCTACAAAACTGCAAGTTTACGATATTGTCCCTGCTCTTGTCGAGGATCTTTATTCGAAATATCCCCACAAAATAATCAAGGCCTCTAGCCCGAAGGATGTAGCTGATAAATCTGTACGAAGAGGAAATATATCTTACCAAATCACTTCGGAAGCTGAACTGAAAGTATAGGACATTGTGATCACGATGCTACCCGAAGGGAAACATGTGAAGACCGTCTACTTGGGAACCAACGGGATCTCTTCCGGAGATATCGAGGGTAAATTATTAATCGATTGCTCTACCATCGACACGGCTAGCTTCCTTGAAGTGAAAGAGGACATCGCGAAGAAGTTTCAAAAGACCTTACTTTACGATGCACCCGTCAGTGGTGGTGTTATCGGAGCAAAGAAAGGCACCATTGCATTTTTCCTTGGCTGCGCAGAAGACGACAAGGAAGAAATCGAGCGACTCGCCAGTCTCCTTTCTCTCATGGGAGGCAAGATTATCCCATGTGGTGGACCTTCGCTCGGCCTAGCAGCCAAGTTATCAAACAATTACCTATCTGGCATCATTGCAATTGCTTGTTCCGAGGCCATGGATATGGGTATGCGCTCCGGTCTTGATCCGCGTGTTCTTGCAAAGGTTTATGCTGCCGGTACTGCACAGAACGCAATTTGCGATCGATTCTGTCCAGTGCCCGGTGTTTACCCGGAAGCGCCATCTTCGAATGGGTATCGGGATGGCTTCAAAGTTCAATTGATGAAAAAGGACTTTTCACTGGCTCTGGATATGGCTCACCGGGTGGAGTCAAATAATGTCCTCGGTGATGTGGGATTAAGAACGTACGAAGGGGCCAGCGAGGATGCGCGATGTAGAGACCTAGACTCTAGAGTTGTCTTTCGCTATCTTGGTGGCAATGAGAACTGGGAGGCTGAGGGGAATGTGGAAGGTGCCTCGCCGGAGCGCGGCTCTTTAGCATAGATTTAAATTGTCATACTGCTCGTTATATCTATCGATGTTCCTTTCTGAAGCGTTTCCCCGTTGGTGAGACAACCTGTCATCTTGTTGTCTGATCTCCTGGAGCCTCCTTTGTGGAAATATACTAACTTCTAAGGTTCCGACAGGACTACAATGCACTCTTTTCCCAGGCAATCGAGGGCAGGAGGGAGATATACAAAGCAAGCCCCGGAGGGGTTACCTCCGAGATATATACCCCAAAAGTCCGAGTCTTCTCCTTGTCCACAGAAACCCTGATAGATTGGTCTGGGTTGATTTTGATATCTCTGAAACCTTCACCGATTTTGGTTCTGAAAAATCTGGCTCGCTGTGAAAGGATTTGGCGAGGCACTGGTAAAGAATTTATTCCTTCCTATTTTAGAATAATTCGATTTGCTGATCAACAATTATAGATAGATGGCCAGGCTGAGGTTCTCTCACCGAATACAAATTTTTATTTTTATACATAGTGTCATCCTACTCGACAGCCAACTTCCGATTCTTCCTCATCCCGATGTACCACTCCGCAAAAATAATATTCGGAATCCAACAAGAGTAGGCTGCAATGGTCAAAGCCGCCGGAAGCGTCATTCGATAGAATAGTATCATAAGCGCAAGCTGCCAGCGTAGCATCACGGCAGCATATGTCAACGCGAAATTCCGTATCATCCACTCCCTATGACCAGAAACATCCCCGCTCCAGATAGTGCGAAGGCCCATAGTCATCGTCGCCATCCACAAAATGGCTAAAATCGCAAATCCATAGTCACCGATGGGATATGCGTTACTATCCATGGAGACCTGTAGACCACAGAGACCGCTAGCGAAGATGGCTGCCGCGTAAACTCGTCCGACCCATCGATGTACCGAAGGATATAATCGGCGAACTTTTTCGACGAATTGGATTGGACCCAGGAGCATTGCCACACCGCCTGCGATTATATGGATATAGCCGTGAATTGATGATAGCATACGGGTTCTCGTGGGCCTGTTGCCTGATGGAGTGTAGAATATGAAATAGAAGGCGTAGGCGCTGACTGGCAAAGCAGGAATTGCCATAATCCACCACCGTAATGATGCAGAGGCACCTTGAGCTCGAGACTTCGCCATTTGAGCAATATTAAGAGGTTCTGGTCAAGTGAGATGGAAGGATCGAGGTATTTGGATCAACTCCTCTCATATAAATATCCTAGTATACCGTGACAATATGAGCTTGCGTGAGTTGTTGAACTTTGTAGGGAAATTCAACTTGAAAACGTCTAATATTTGAGGCGGTGACAATGCCAGTTTAAATGAAGAATGCTTTTGGACTGTGTTCCAAATTATATAATTTTTTGGGGGCTTTTTCATATCCTTCAGCTAGGGTAGTACTGCTGTAGCCCGCCCCCACGAGCCAACGTAAGCTCGCACCTGTGGGTCTATTTTCTGTTCGCCCAAACACAGCCCCCAGATGATATTCAGCTTGCTTTAGATCGTCAACTTTGTTAATCAAAGCGTCTCTAATCGAGAACAAGGCTTTCGGCTTGCACACTAGTAGGGATATGGAAGACAATTTGAATTGTTGGGCAAGAAGCTCAAGAATCAAATACGACGTGCATTTCAATGCCGCGAGAGGTGCAATGGTAAATTGGGAATAGACCGTTCGGCCAACCGGAGTGTGTGGCATCTAGCCCCAAGGCTGCCAGAATCTAGCGAGGCTCGGGAGCTTACTAGTAGGAGAGCAATGATAGGTCATGTAAACTCGCATGGCTAACCGTTCTAGGATATCCTTACCGTTAGCAGGAAATATCTGTGGATATAAGGTGGTGTCTGGCCCCAAGGCCATTAAGGTCTATCGAGGCTCAGGCTCGAGAGCATTTCGATGTTGCTGTACTAGTATATCATGATAATATTTGTGTTTTCTTTCGCGTTTACATCCAAGCACGTGAGCCGGCTTTGGGACTTTACGCGCTATGGTGGCCTGCCATTCGTTATAACAATCCTCCTTTTTCCAGGCCTCAGAAATATTCTGCAGCAACTTGTTACCCCTCAACGAGTTGAAGACTGCTGCGCATTGAATACCAATTCTTCTCTGCCCGCGGCGAGGAGAAAAGGGATATTAAGCATTTTGATACGGTCGAAAGTAATTGCTGATTGAGAAATCCTAGTATATTCTTCAATCTTCGATTAAAACTTGATGTTCGTTTTGATTGGTTTTAATAAGAAACCCTGAAGCAAGTAGTAACGCGATTTATATGTGAGCCAAGCTTATAGGTCCTTATATTCTAGTTGTCAATGTGTATTGTCCACCGTTCTAGGATAGTACTACTGTTGGGGGGGAAATATCAATGGTCACACAATCACCCCAGTTATGTACCCAGTGGCCGAAAGGTATGCGTAATTTCATAGTACTAGGAACACATCGGAAATGGTGCTTTTCGTGCAAATTTAGCCCCCCCTCAAGGATGTTCCATTCCAGCCTTGGAGGTCTCCAAATTGGTGGACCTCGGGAGTCAAGGGGTGGGGCAAAGCATCCCCCCCGATTATTCGGCTTAACGGATTATGCCGGAGTACATCTTCAAGTCCATTTTCAATCCCTCCACTCACGTCACAGCAATCTCTACAACTGAACAAATATTTCTATTGACTCTACATATCTTTGAGCTACTTGTTTGATTCGCCAACGCTCCATCTCCCGACCAAGATGTCTACCGACCCGAAGTTCGACGACCTACACAAAAAGCTCTTCGATGAAGGGATGAAGGTTCGCCGCGGGGTCTTGGGAGATTCATATGTCGACAAAGCTTTAGCAAACGGTACGACCGAATTCTCGAAACCCGGCCAAGAAATGGTCACTGAATGGGCCTGGGGAAATGTCTGGACCCGACCTGGCTTGGAACGACGAGACCGCAGTCTGCTCAATATTGGCATGTTAATGGCCCTCAACCGTGGCCCTGAGCTAGCTATTCACCTCAGAGGTGCCCGCAATAATGGGCTGAGCGAGCTTGAGATTCGGGAGGCTATCCTGCACGCCACAGTTTACTGTGGGGCACCCTGGCGTGGATGCCTTCAAAATTGCTGAACGGGTATTCAATGAGATGGCCGAAAATGGCGAGAAGCCTCGGGAGCTGGGAGAGAAGGCAAGCTTAGAGTGATGCATCATTCAAATCGTGCTACTAGACTACTTGAATAAACAGTCTAGCTCCGGCTCAGTTATATTTATATCTGATCTACATCTCCATATTAGAGAAACTATCTGGAAGATTCTGGGAAGAGCTGTGACGGAATTCTTTCGTGCCATCTATCATACTATGAGGTTTATACTGTTGTCTTTCGATTATTTCTATACGCGAATGGTAGCCTCGTTTGACCTAGGTGAGCAAAGGTTGGTCATGCGGCAAGTAATACAGACGAATAGTACTTCCCTATGCACCAACTCATCAGTTTGATAACTCAAGTCGGCTGTTTGGATGAAATGGCCGCAACGGAATCAATTTCTCACTTGAAATTCTCCAGGAATTGATGTCATGTCTGGCAAAGTGCGGGGAAGGAGTAGCCGACGGCACACTAGTGACCCAACAAGGATATACTAGTATCGCGAGTACTAACAAGTAACAGCTTCGGCCAAGGTATCACAACTTGAACCTACAGTATCTCGTGTCCAGCAGATCAATTACCCCAACAAAAAGACTGGGCACCTGGGCATCATGATGTTACTATCATTATGGATTCGAACTTGAATACTATTCAAGCAGCTACCTAGGTATTGCCTTCAACTTGGAGTTAAAGCCCGTAGATAGGTATATATACCTATTTCATGGATGTTGATGCCCAAGTGTACCTAGGTATATACCTAATCGTCGAGATTCCTGTCAAAGCGCAGATGAGCAACTGAAGTAAGGGCCTCGGTAGCTATGAATTACCTTAAGATACATCGCTGATTCTCAATTTATCAATGACACGCCTTCATGATATGGTACTAGTATTAGTACTACTAGTACCTGAAAGATGCCGCGAAAACCTGTGTTCGCGAGATGACTATTCACGATATTTCGGATCATGAGTTAATGCACGATAGAATGAATAGAGTAATAATCAATGAAGTTGTACTACGTACAATGTGAATTGACTGAATAGTACTAGTAGTATAGTGACCCACGGTGCTGACGCGGTCACTGGGGCAACGCGCGCATCAGCGATGACGGCTATCGTCAGTGGGCAGTGGGGGAGCTGAACCCGATACGAGTAACCTTGACTTGACCTTAACTTGGAACATTACCTCTCTCCTTGTCGTCGATCTACCCTTTTGTTCCTTTGTACTCTTTGTCTCATCTTCCACCTAGTCTCGGTCTCGGTCTCGAACCTATACCTATTTGCTCCCAGTGTGGTACGGCATGCCGCAGACCCCCATTCCCCGATCGCCATGCGCCCTGCTAACTCCCTTGTCTTTGGAATGCAGCCACACCCCGATCAGCGCCCCCGCTAGATAACATCTCCAAGGGAGATTCCTCCTGAACGAAAATGGCTTCGTTCATCACCACCATGTCTGTCCCCGCTGCTCCTGCCCCTGTCCATCTCTCCACACCAGATGCGGTGTCGCGCTCCCCGCCAACCCGTTCCCCTTCCCTCAGTCTGAGCCCCTCGGGCATCTATCAGACCACACGCACCTCCCATCTTCCATTGCTCGAGCCTCCCTCCTACCTCTCGCCAGCAGTGCGCGCACTCAAACAAGGTGTATTTGGACTAACCCCTCCCAGCAATGCACGGACGCGAGCCCCCTTCAAGCCCCGATCCGCCGCCAAGGGCACAAGTAGTTACCAGCTGAGGCAATTTGCCGAGGCCACCTTGGGAAGTGGCAGTTTGCGCAAGGCCGTCAAGCTTCCTGAGGGCGAGGACCTGAATGAATGGCTCGCGGTGAATGGTGAGACTTTTCTTTATATGCGCGGGGAACTTGAACTTCGGGGACAAGATGACTGATATAAACATTCGATTTAATGTATAGTCGTCGACTTCTACAACCAGATCAACCTGCTCTATGGCTCTATAACCGAATTTTGCTCCCCGCAGACTTGCCCTGAAATGAAGGCAACTGACGAGTATGATCCCACTCAACCTCATGAGACTCAGCTTCCCCACGCCTGGTATTGACAATTGGCAGGTTCGAGTACCTCTGGCAAGATTCAGAAAACTACAAACGGCCCACCAAGATGTCCGCGCCCGAATATATTGAACACCTGATGAGTTGGGTACAAAGCAATGTCGATAATGAGCAAATGTTCCCCAGTCGCATCGGTAAGTACCGCAGCTCTGACACCCCAGATAGGGTAGAGGATAACGTTAACAATATTCTACGATCCAGGTGTTCCATTCCCCAAAACCTTCTCCAGTCTTTTGCGCCAAATCTTCAAGCGTCTGTACCGTGTCTACGCCCATATCTACTGCCACCACTACCCCGTCGTCGTACATTTGGGTCTCGAGCCCCATCTGAACACCAGCTTCAAGCACTACGTCTTATTCATCGACGAACACAAGCTGGCTAGCGGGAAGGATTATTGGGGACCACTCGGTGACTTGGTGGATAGTATGCTGAAGAGCGACTGAGTGGCGTGCTGTTGTTTCATGAACAATTATGCATGAGATATCACTGTTTACCGATGATACCCGAATCCTGGAGGGTTCTAGGTTGCGATTTCGGTCGGCGGGATTCTCACTGGCGTTCTGGGCGTGGGCATGCATTGTCGAAGTTTGTTTTATTTGAATAGGGTGGCGTTCAACCTGGCTCTGTCTGTTTCTGTGGCCGTCTTTAGGATGGAGAATGAATGGCAGGCTAGGAATCAACCGTTATTTTGATCACCGAGTTAAGGAGTCGAGATCCCGGTGTTCCGGTGTGGGCTGTCGCAAATGAGAGATTACCAGAGTAGTCATAGACATGAATCAAGTGTGATGAATTGACGTCGGCAATGTCAAATATACCCCAACTGTCAATATTAATGACAATCGACAGGAGTACGTAGTCAATATCAGGAATATCAGAAATATTGTATGTTCTGTACTGTGGAAGTGCCAAGTGACTGCGAAAATCGGGAGTATTATGTCAGCAACACGTGATCTGGAAGAAGTCGGAGCCAGTTGCACTCAACCTTCACGAAGCCAACCGACCCCGTCGTTTCGCACCTCACCTCCCATCACAACTCTCAACCCTCCCCGAGGCTCTCCTCGCACTCAATTCACAATGATGTCCGCTCGTGTCGCCCGCTCCGGCCTCCGTGCCGCCCAGCAGTTCTCCGCTCCTCGCGCCGCCGTTAACAGCCTGCGCACCTATGCCACCCCGGCCCAGGATGTCAACCCCCCCGTCGCTCTGTTCGGCGTCTCTGGCACCTACGCCTCTGCTCTGGTATGCCTTCGACTCCCCTACGTGATCCGATCCTCGTGATGGCATTTTTCCTCGCGACTCCGTGTTATCCCGACACCCCTCCCTGTCTGCATCTGCATCCCCTCTCTTTCGAGATTGAGATTCAATGCCGGATCCGAGTTCCGCAAAACGACGTCTACACCAACACAAAGCCATGGATATGCCTGTCGCGAAACACAATGACCCTTTCTAACTTGTATCCATGTATTTAGTACACTGCTTCCACCAAGTCCTCCGCCCTCGACCAGACTGCCAAGGCCGTCGCTGCCCTCGGCCAGACCCTGAAGGCCGACCCCAAGCTTGGTGCCATCCTCGGTGCCCCCACCCTCACCCACGACGACAAGCTCCAGGTCGTCGCTGAGCTCCAGAAGGTCGCCGGTGCCGACAAGGGTGACATCCTGAAGAACTTCCTCCTCACTCTGGCCGAGAACAACCGTCTCGGTTCCCTGGAGACCGTCTGCGAGAAGTTCGGCACTCTCATGAGCGCTCACCGCGGTGAGATCGAGCTGAACATCACCTCCGCCCAGGTTCGTTCCCACGCCTGCTTACTCTAAATGAGCACTTCAACCCGCCAGGGAAAGTGTGTACCGGTTTGCTAACACGCTTTACTCTCCCCAGGAGCTCGACGCCAAGACCATCTCCCGTCTCGAGAAGGCCGTTGCCAAGTCCGAGTACAGCCAGGGCAAGAAGCTTAAGATTGTCACCACCGTGAGTAGAACCTCTCTGCATATTGCGTTTCCCGGGAACCCGTCGCTAACATGACCCAGGTCAACCCCGACCTCGTCGGTGGACTCGTCGTTGATATCGGTGGCCGCACCATCGACCTGAGCGTCTCCTCTAAGATCGCCAAGATGAACAAGGCTCTGACCGATGCTTTGTAAATGTAAAATAAACACCTTCGAGAGTTGTGTGGGGCCGTGTTGGTTAGAATATAGCATTCCCGCATGAACGGTAGCGTTGGAAAGCGGAGGCCGTGGGATGGATGGGATGGGACGAGATGAGACGAATCGTCTCTTGTCCCCTTGTTATGTCTACGGATCTTCCTCGGTCTTTTCAGTTCCATTTGTTTTCATTATTTGTGAATTGCACAATACACTTTTCATTACTCATACTTGGTACTATGTCTAAGCTATAGCCGGCAAGGACAGTTCGCAGAGTAGATGGTACCACCATACTGCGTACGACTACTACCTTTCACCTTTTCGCATAGTAGACCGAGGCAGCCGGAGCCCTGGTCTACTATCAGATATAACGGGCTTACTAGTACCATAGTGAAATAAGCAAATGCGCCAAATGCAGTCTCGATTGTTCTCAACTAAACGCTCAAGGTAGTGTATATGACATCGCAACGATATCTATTAGTGCAACCCGTTTATCCACATCAATCACATCAATCACATCACAAATTTATCATAAGATCCATCATCAAAATCAACTTGAAATCAATATCTCGCCGTCGAGGGCAAATGCAAGGAAAGTAGAGAACGAGAAAAAAAGGAAAATAGAAAGCATGTCCATGATAAAGAAAAGGAAAGAAAAGTAAACAGAAAGAAAATATCCAGCTCAAAAATGTTGCTAGAACATGAACTCATCTCAATGCCCATTGCCATTACCATTACCATTCTGCTTATCGTCCTTGGTAACAAGTTCATCCTCATAAGCAGCCATGGAAGCAGAGCTACGCACGCGCTGCAACTGACTCTCGACATAATTGTGCACATGCTCATCCGCTTCATCTTCGTCGCCGTTCTGGCTTGTGCCGAACGCAGTGCTTCCGCGACGGCTGATGGGACTACTAGTGAATTCGTCATCCAGGGCTGCGGGCGTCGCGTCACCGGCAATGGTGGAGTTGAAGTCACTGCGATTGCCGATGGAGCGGTTGGTGGATGAGCGGCGGACGGATGGGCGGCGTGAGCTGGGGCGGCGGCCGGTGCGGGAGAAGATGTCGTCGAAGTAGTGGGATGCTGCTGCGAAGGGGGAGCGTGGGGTTTGGGGGAGACGGCAGTTGAGGCTGGGAGAGATGTTAGTAATGCATTTATTATATATTGGAATGAAGTGAAAGACTGCTTACCCAGTATCGTGAATGATTTTCGCAACAAGACCAGTCCAACCACATTGGTGGGATGTACCCAGACCACGGCCGGTGTCGCCGTCGAAGAATTCGTGGAACCAGAGGTAATCCTTCCAGTTCTCGTCGAAATCGAGGAGATCGTTGGTTCCATTGATAGCACGGCGACCCTCGTCATTACGGGCGAAGAGATGCTGCATACGGTGCTGCAGTTCCTCGGCAACGCCACCCAAGTGCATGTAATCGCCTGATCCTGTGGGACATTCAATCTGGAAGGAGTCGCCGTAGAACATGTAGTACCGCAGCAGCGATTCAACGAGCAGGAAGTTCACGCAGAGCCAGATCGGTCCGCGCCAGTTACTGTTGCCGCCAAATAGAGAGCTGTCGGAGTCGCCGGGGACATAGCCGACCTTGAATGTTTGGCCATTTACGTCCATCGAGTAAGGGTTCTCTTCGTGGAACTTGGACATCGATCGGATACCGTGTTTGGATAGGAATTCCGTCTCGTCGAGCATGCGCTTGAGGATCTTCTCTAGACGGTCTTTGCTCACCAGCGAGAGCAGGAGACGGTCGTCTTTGCCGCGGCGCTTCATACTGGCGATGTTGCGCTCGGCTACGTCTGACCGGTTCTCGATGAACCAGTCCAGGCGTTTCTTGAATGAGGGGAACTTCTTGATGATCTCGGGCTCGAGTGTGAGTACCGCGTAGAGCGGGATGAGGCCGACCAGCGATCGAACCGGCAGCTGCTGGGTCCAGGGACCACCGTATGAGATGGCATCGTAGTAGAAGTGGTCGTCCTCATTCCACAACGATTTAATGTTATCCTCCCCAGAGCGGTAAGTCATCGCATCGCTGATGAGAATGAAGTGCTCAAAGAACTTGGACGCAATGTCCTCATAGATTCGACGGTGCTTGGCCAGCTCAAGGGCAATGTTCAGCATGCACAGGCAGTAAAAGGCCATCCAGCCTGTGCTATCCGCCTGCTCGAGAACACCTCCAGTTGGCAGGGGCTCGGAACGGTTGAAAAGACCAATATTGTCCAATCCGAGGAATCCTCCCTCAAAGACATTCTTGCCATCCGAATCCTTGCGGTTCACCCACCAGGTGAAATTGAGAAGCAGCTTCTGGAAAACTCGTTCGAGGAAATCCAGATCCTGTCGACCGTACATCTTGCGCTCGATCTTGAAGGTGCGGAACACGGCCCACGCGTGCACGGGTGGGTTGACGTCGCCGAAATTCCATTCGTAGGCGGGCAACTGGCCGTTTGGATGCATGTACCATTCTCGGGTCATGAGGTCGAGTTGCTTCTTGGCGAAGTCTGGATCGATCATTGCGAGTGGGATACAATGGAAGGCAGTATCCCATGCTGCGAAGAATGGGTACTCCCAGGAATCTGGCATCGACAGGATGTCGTCGATGTAGAGATGACGCCATTGTTCATTGCGAATGCCTTTGCGGCCTTCTGGAGGGGGGGATCTCGGCTGGGTCACCGTTGGCCCATTGGTCGTAGATGAAGTTATAGTATTGCTTGCACCACATCATTCCGGAGAAGGCTTGTCGCTGGATGTTGCGGAGATCTTCGCTCATGGGGAGCGGGTTGATGCGATAGTAGAAATCATCCGCTTCAGCGCGACGTTGCTCGATGACATCGTCCACGACTTCTTCGTCCACGAACTCCTCCTTCTTGCGGGAGAATCGGAATCGAACGACAGCGCATTCGCCAGGAGGCACTCCCTCGCCTTCGTCAAAGGCATACCAAGCGGCGAGCTTGGTTCCTTCATTGGCTGGGTTGATGGCGTCCTTCTCCTTATCAACAATGTGACGGTGGAAGGCATCTTTCACGTAGGGCTGATCGTTCTCGGTATCCCACAGCTTCTTATTGTTGCTCTCGTTCTCAGTGAACAGCAATCGGGGCTGGATATCCTCATCGCTGGATCCAACCGGGGGCGATGGGGCAAAGCAGGCATAGCGTTCACCCAACTTTTCATGGTTTGACTTGGCGATACGAGGTCCTTCGTGCTTGATGGATGGCTTCTCGCCCTGGTTCTCAAATCCCCAAGACCAAGTGTTGCGGAACCACACCTGGGGTACGATATGCAGGTGAGCGGGCTCGGGGCCGCGGTTGTATGCAATGACTCGGAAGATCAGCTCCTCCTCATCGTCACCTTCCTTGGCGGTCTCGATGAAGATATCCCAGTAACGGTTGTCTGCGAAGGCATCTGTGTCGAGGATTTGATATTCACGTTCCAGACGCGATCGCTTGGCATTCTCATCGACCAATTGCTGGTACGGGAATTCTCTCTGGGGGTATTTGTACAGGAACTTCATGTAAGAGTGCTAGATGCCGGTCAGATGGGGTCTGTGCAGGGTATAGCAAGAAGAAGAATCAAAAGTACCACCTACCGTCGGGGTATTATCCACATGGAAATGCGCCTCCTTGACACTCTCACCATGGTTGCCCTGTGGATTGGACAGGCCGAACAGGCGTTCTTTTAGGAATTCACTAGTGATGGTGATAAGTGGTCAGCCATTTGCTGTCTCCCCCGCACGCCTGCAGCCCCCGCGTCTCACAAGTTTACAACTCACTCTTTCTCGTTCCAGAAGGAAAATGCAATGTTCTGCAAACCGTGGGTATCGGAAACACCGGCAATTCCGTCTTCACCCCAGCGGAATGTTCGCGACCGCGCATGATCGTGCGAAAAGTCTATTTGGTTAGCATCAAGGTCATGGCAGTCATGCTATTGACATGGTTGAATACTTACAGCTCCATGCATCACCGTCCTCGCTAGAACACTACTGTTAGTATCTGATGGTGGTGATATGAGAATGCCAGTGGAAGACTCGAACTTACGAATAGTCCTCCCGCACTGTAGTAATGAAGTCATTCAAGTTAGCCCGTCTTGTCCGCGACGCCGAAAATCACACAGCAAGCTTCAAACGCACCGGTTGCCCATTGTCGCTCGGCCACATAGGGACCCCATCGCTTCCAGTATTTGGTGCGATCACGATCCTCCTTCAGACGCTTCTCCTCCTCGGTGAGGAACTCGTGCTTGTCGATCAGCACCATGGTGGAGCCGGAGGGCGGGGGAAGGGGAATGTGGAAATGCAGCAATGAAGAGCAATTGGCGTGGGAATGGGTGTAAGAAAGCAAGTCAAGACACAAAAGGAGGAGGGAGAATGTTAGGAAGTGAGAAGATCCAAAATCTTCGACTTGGAGGGAGGGAAGAGGGAGAGAGAAAAACGGCCTCAGAACCTTCTTGGAAAGAGGGGTCCGTGGTAGCTCAAGCAGCAAAAGCAGGGCGGATAGCAGAAAGTAGCGTAGAACGGCAGTTTGGGCAATTGCAGGTAGGCCGAGTGAATGACGGCACCGGTGGATATCGGGCGTCTCTCGTGCTGCTTTGATTGGTTCTGTTGGGGAGTCCATTGCAATCTGGACTTGTACAGCTGTGCAGCAGTTATCTGCGGTGCTAGTTAGTACTGGCACTAGCAGTAGTGCAGGGCTTACACTGATGGGAATCTTGATTTAGGTTCTACAGATATTAGTACTAGTATTACTAACTACTACTAGTAGTGATCGTAGTCCTAGGTAATCAAATCACATTACGCCCGTGTACATACAAATGGGGTTTCTCAAGATATGCCAGAGCAAGACAGAAGGGATATAAAAAAGAAGAGTGAAAAAGAAGAAGAAAGGAAAAGAAAAAGAATAATCCAAATCAGACCTGATCCGCGCCGGATCCTGCCAACCCACGGTTTGCCGCCATCCGCAAAGGTATAAAAATCAACAAGAACTTGAAGGCTTCAATCAAATCCATGGATATATCATAAATATCCAATATGTAGTATCCTGCGCCCTTCCCCAATTATGACGCAGTCTCCGTTGCCTCAGGCTTTTCCTCCTCTGGCTCCGGCTGCTCGGTGACGGTTCCTTCTCGGGGAGCTATGGTCGGCGCATCAGTCTACCGTCTTCCCGACCGCAATCCAGTTCGCAATTTATATGCAAGAAATAGTCAAAAAAGAAAACAAAAAGAAAAGAGAGACAAAGAATGGAAGATGCAAGATGCAAATGCAAATGCAGAATGCAAGACATAAGAGGCACGGTATTGGGAAATGCAATAAATGCAATGCGATGCAACGGGGAAGATCAAGCAGAACCACCCTTACCGGCTGTCTGGCCTTCGCCGAAGTTCCGGCCTGTCGAGGGAGAGCCAAAGTTGACCGATTGCCGCGACTTGAGGCGGTTCTCCGCATCTCGGATGCGCTGCTGTAGCTCCTCGAGCTCACGGCTTTGAATCATCATCGCTTGTTTCCTGTGGGTGCTGAATTAGCGTATGCGACCGGGGAGGAGGTTGCGGTTGCCATTGCGATTGCCATAGTATGCGACATGTCATTGACAATTACTTAGTACTCGGTACTCACTTTTGATCAATGGTCTGGGAGAGGTGGTTGACATCGCTGTCGAGGGAGAAGGCACTATCCAGTGCTGTGGAAAAGTCTTGCGCCATGGTCCTGTCCGCGGGGGGTTAGCATTGGGTGGCCATATTGGTGATAGGTCTGTTTTGTTGGGCTGACGGGCTGTGGGTGCGGGGGAGGGAAAAGGAGAGGAGGGGAGAGATTCAACGCACGACTGAGGGCGCATCTTGGTGGGCTTCCACTCTCGGTCCAAATCGGAAGACATTATGCGAAGCTGTATAGGTAGAACCGGGTGCTCTATAGGAATGAGGGAGGCCGGCAAGGTGGAAGCGCTGGAATGGATGTGCGGGGCACGAGACTCCTAAGGAGACCAGACAGGAGAAGAATGATCGGCGAGGAAGAGACTCGGACCAGGCAAAGGACCAAGTGCAAGTGGGATTTGAATGTAGTTGCGAAAGAGGTTACTATCTGGTGGGGGAAGGTCCAAAGAATGTCAGTTGATGTCCAACTCCTTTTGTGTATACTTCGGACAGCGGGAGCGGCAAGGGGAGACTAGTCCCAAGTTACCCCCTTTGGAGGACTGAGAACCGGAGGGGAACACGGAGAAGGGGGCTGGTGGGAGAACCATACCGAATGGAGAGGATGTAAAGCACGGATCTAGGTAGATTGGGCGGGAGAGTAGCAAAAGTAAGGAAGAAGAGGGGAAGAGAAAGAGAAGAAAAAAAGAAGTTGAGGAGAGGCGATCGTAGCCCACTGACTATGTTACTAGTCGCCGGAATATCGTGGAGAGGCCAGTGATTATCCACCCGGAGGGCTGTCACTGTATTACACTGGGTTTAAGGGGGGGGAGCTTTTGTCAAAGAAATCGCCGGTGGAGACGTTGGTGGTGCGTAGCGTAGTGTAGCTCAGGACTCAGGGGCACCTCCACTTGGGTTGATTGCACTTGGGCAAAAGGGGTCAAGATAGGAGAGGATCAACTGGTCATTGCTGCGTCAGTGAAGTGCAGACAGGGTACTCCATAGACAGGGCTGTATACTAGTTATCTACTGCCAGTAGAAATAAGTGTGGATAGATCTATATACTTGTGTGGTGTATCGTGTGTAGTATAGTTACTTATTGTATACTTGCATACTGCATAGAGTATTATTATACCTACCCCGTACATATACAGCCACAATATACGGAGAAGAGTATCTTAGGGCACTCCGTACCTTACTCGTACTTACCCTAATCTCTTCGAGTCCTCCTTACAGTGGAAGCATGTACTTCACTATTGTTAGTCAGCACTGCTGTTGTGATGTGACAGTACCATACCCGGAATTCACGTGACTGTATCCGTCGCCGAACTGGCAAGGGCGACCCGGGGGGACTGCAAAAGCAGCAGCAGGCAGGAACCACCGAGGGCCTTCATCGAATCAACTCCTTCCTCTTCTTCTCACCTTGAATCTTCATCTTCACCTTCTCTCCTTCTCACCTCCTCCTCCTCTCCTAACCGGCTCTCCCTCCCCGGTCGCGTTCACCCTCGCCCACGCCCTCTCCCTCGCTCTCGCTCTACCCCTTCCAGGAACCCACCGAAAATCTTCGCGCGACCGAACACGTCCACATCTTTAACTTCAACTCCACCTCCACGTCCATTTCGCGTCCCTCCTCCCCCAACCACCGCCATCCCTCCCATCGTGGCCCCCATCCCCAAAGCCATCCCCGCCAGTGGCCGACCGGGCGGGCAATGGGGGATGCCTCCTCTGTCGGCGTACACTCCGTTTGAGTCCCTGCTCTTTTTCCAGTCCTTAGCGGCCTCCGATGTGCGCCCGGCAAGCTTCACCTCGATCTCAACCCTCTTGAGCAACAATCCACATGTGCGCCAGCATGTCGCATTCAGTGCCGATCGCCTGAGCCCCGAGGCTCTCGAGGATCTGTATGCGACATTGTTGCGCGATGGGTTTGATCGAGAACATGGTCCCAATGCATGGCCAACGGACACCTCGGGATCCAACAACCCCAAGAAGCGCAAGATCTCCAGCCCGCGCCCAGAGAATCTTTCGACCGCTACCACCCACTCCGTACTAGTCCCAGAGCTCGTCGCCCACCTCTACGCGGGGTACAAGGAGCTAGTCACGAAAGAGATCAAAGAGGACGAGAAGCGATATACTCAGATCAAGGATGAAATCGACCGTCTCCAGAAAGAAGGCGATAAAGCCGTGGGACCGACAACTGCGACGCCCATCCCCACCGAATCTCCGCCCCAGCCGATGGATATCGATGTGAAGCAGGAAGCGTCACGGCAAGACGAGACTTTGAAGGAAGCTCTTCCACATAAGAGACCGGAGGATGTGTCGCATGGCGCGGGTGATGTGGTAGGGAAACCGCAGCCTGCCAATGTCCAACCTAGTAGCAATGCGACAGCGGTGGCTTTGAAAGAATCATCCGCGCAAGACAAAGCCGCTCCGCCAGGACAACCGAGTGGTCCAAAGCCCTCGCAAGTCCCCGTTCCCCCACCACTCGCCCCTCGAACCCAACAGCCGGTTCCTGGAACACCGACAGCACCGCCACCTACTGCAGTACCTCACCCATCACAAATTGCCCCGCGGCCGAACATCCCCACACCTTTGACCAAGGTGGGCGGCGAACCAACTCCCACTCAATCGAGTTTCCAGCAATGGCAGCTTGATCCTCCTCCTCACTCCCCTTACTCCGCCGTCTCTCCTACCGCTACTTCTCACATTGGCCCCGCGGGTGCCAAGCAACCTCAACCTCCCTCCCAGGTCCCATCACGGAAACACTCCAAGACCTCCGTCTCTTCCAATGTCCCAAGCACGCCAGGTGCAGCGCCCTCAGAGGCGCAAACGCCTGTGCCAATAGGCTATCCACGGATTTCGCAGACCCCGAGTGTGATCCTTCCCCCGTTCTCCGAGACTCGAGCTTCTCGTCCACGGCTATCTATCGACACACCCGGCTCATCTACTCCATGGAAGCGGACTCCTCGTCTCAGTATCCCACATTCCCCAACGTCGCCACCTCGACCGCGGCCGGAGGATGTTAGCCCAATAAGTGAGAGGGGTTCATCCCCTGAGGCATTTGACACCTCACGCACACGAGAAAGGAAGACGAGACGAAGCCAAGCAGCCACCGGTGACAAGTCTACCCCGACCATCAAAACCGAACGACCATCGGCCAATCGGAGAAACCGTGCGATTAGCTCAGCGTCCTCACAAAGCCGGGGGCGTTCCGTGGCCTCGCGCGAGGCGTCTCCAACAGCGGACACAAGACGTGATTCTCGACCGGGACGCCGCACTGGTGCTGCTCCAAGTGTCGACGAGTCAACCCCCAAGCTACGGTCCAAGCGCAAACGTGGTCTGAGTGAATCATTCGAAGAGCCCAAGGTAGACACGTCTCGATATGTCGTGTGTACACGCGGTTTCCATCGAACCGCGGCTCCCATCTTAAATGATGTGACTACTCATAAGCTGGCTTCCATTTTTGCCAAGCCACTTGGAGAGCGCGACGCACCCGGCTACCACGACCTGATCTACCGCCCGCAAGACCTTAAAACCATCAAATCCGCCGTTCACCAAGGAAGCAAAGCCGTGGCCGCTTCAACCGAAGCCGTCAGTACTCCAGCCGGTGCAGGCGATAGCGAATCACCGGCACCGATCTCCGGAACGCCCACTAAGAACAATGTTCTCATGCTCCAGAAGAGCGAAGACCTCCTTCCTCCAAAGGGTATTGTCAACTCTGCTCAGTTGGAGAAGGAGTTTGTACGGATGTTCGCCAATGCAATCATGTACAATCCCGTTCCGGAGCGAGGCTTCGGTCCTGGTTTCCCGATGATCAGCGAGCGTGGTTCCCGCGAGAGCACGCAGTCGAGTGACGGGGAAGAGGGTGGTATCATCCAAGACTCAAAGGACATGTTCAAGGATGTCGAGCAGGCCGTGACTCGATGGCGTGCCGCTGAGCGCACGGCCGATGAGTTGGCATACAAGAACGTGCTGTCGTTGAGGCGAGGTAGTGCCAGCGACTTCAACACGGATAGCGCGGATGATGCTAAAGGGTGATTGATTGGATTATATTGGGCCAGTTCTTGTCACCATCAACTATGTATACTATGAATCTGTTTTTACTAGGAAACCTCAACGAATGAATACCAGAATCGCCGGCAGACTTGATCTGCCAGCCATATCATAACCGACCCGATCTATTACACCGCATTACAGTAGCTACACAGGGTAGGATGCAGGACGTATAAAAATGGGATATGCTTTATCCAAAACCGTATTTCATTCGGGATCTCATATTGCAGGCACCCTAATTGCATCCCTAGTACCAAATTCATGACGCAATTTAGCAGACAGGGTGCACGCCAAGGGAGTTGGTCCCAGGAGCACCAACAACGTTCGCGCCAGCGGGGCATCCTTTGAGGTTGGTGTTAGGGCCATTGCAGTCGCCGTGGGCCATTAAGGACCCTAAAACTTTGTATTACAGCGTATATACCTAGGAAGGAAGACCCAGACACTCCATCAAGGATAAACCTTGCCAGAGTTATAATATATTAGAGATGATATAGCTCACCAGACCTGTCCACCTTCGAGAGCCCTAATAAATTATTAAGAAAGATCTCAAATAGTGCCAATACACGTCCCTGCAAGTGTTTGATGAACGCATGCGTCAGACGGTTCACAACCCAAAAGGACCTCACGCGACACATGCAATTATTTCATAACAGCCTGCCCACTGGCAGGACTCACTGGTAGTGCGACGGTCTATGTCTGTCCTCATGCTCGTTGCGACTATTCTGCGAATGGAAGGAAATATAATCTCCAGCGCCATATTAAAGCCAAGCACTGATCAGAGGCTAGATTTGGACACTTAGGTCAGCTCCACAATTGAGTTTTGAATGATAGTATAGTATTTCACTCAGATCCTTGTAGTTCTGGTATATTATACCTTTGCGCAGGGAGCAAAAGCGGCGAGGGGGTGAGCACTAGAACGGAAGGGGGCCCCAAGAGTTGCCAGACATTTACTATCCGGTAGTACATAGTTGTGGCAGATCGACCTTTCAGGCAGGCCCACCCATACCGCCTACGCGATATGGGTGGGCCACGGCCATGTGTAAATAACGGCCATGTGTAAACTTTTTCACAAATCTACTATTTTGCGATATTTACCCTCCACCACGATGCCTAAATCCTCTAAAACTGATGAATCTCGCGTTTCCGAGGCCTGCAAAGCGGCCAATGCCCTCAAAAAGCCGAATATATCGCGCATTGCACGCGATTTCGGCGTTCCCTATCAAACCCTCTATCGACGCGTCCGTGAGGGTAGAACGTCGATTTCAGGTCGAAAACCTACCAATATGGCCCTGACAGATGAACAGGAACAGGCCTTAGTAGGCTGGGTCCTGTTTATGGAGAGCGTGAATATGCCTATTGCGCCTGCTATCTTGCAAGATGCAGCAAATACTATCTTTTTGCGTGCACAAAAGGATGCAAAACCACTAAGCAAAATGTGGGTATATCGCTTCATGAAACGTCACAAGAACCTTAAACCTATATCCCAAAAGCCAAAGGATGATAAGCATATCTCTGCTGAAGATGCTGGAGCTCTTGAGCAGTGGTATAACAGCCTGGCAAGGGTTACTAGGAACGTTCCTCCGCGCTTAGTATATAACTTTGATGAAATTGGCTTTCAACCTGGGAGGGGAAAGGCACAAACCATCATTAGTGGTACAGAGCGGCGTTCTAATATCGCCGAGACAGAGCATTCTGAGACTATAACAGCACTCGAATGTATTGCCGCTGATGGCTGGTCAATGGCTCCATTTTACATCTTCAAGGGCCAGGTTCCTCAGGAAGATTAGTATTATAGCAGTGAGGGTCTTCCAGAGGATACCATTACTGCTGTATCAACAAATGGCTGGATTAATAATAATCTAGCCCTTCAATGGCTTCATCACTTCCATAAAGTAACTGCGAATCGCTATAAAAAAGGCGAAAAGCGGATACTTCTATTTGATGGCCATGGATCTCATAAGACACATGAATTCATACAAACTGCCCTCGATTATAACATTATACCCTTCTGCTTTCATGCTCATTCAACACATATTTGTCAACCGCTAGATGGAAAGCCATTTTTAGCGCTGAAGCAGCATTTTAAGAAACAAAATAACTTGCATGCCTTCTGGTCTGGTGAGGTTGCAAAGAAATCTGAATTTTTGCGTGTCATCTCTGAGGTTCGGGCTACTGCATAGAAAAGCCCTCGCATTATTCGTGATTCATTCAAAGATCGTGGAATATTACCTACAAATGGTGATACAATAGTTGAGGACCTTGCGAACCAATTGCCTAAGGTAGATGATCTAAATATAAGCAATTACGCTCTATATGGTGATACAACACCGCCACCTGGTATCGCTTCGTCTTCATCTGTGCACAGTTCACCTCCTCCAACAATCGAAAGACAACAATTGAATCATGCAAAATGCATAATACCTACTGCTACACTAAAGCAGCAACGCAATTTGGACCGGGTGTTACAACATGCTCAGATTATGGCTGAGAGTGCTGATACCCTACGCAATACAATTACAAAGATGACAGCCGCACGCACGCCATTACAACGCAAATATAGCAAGCGACAGGTTAAACCTCTATCTCAAACTGGTATACTATCCATAAAGGACGCCAATCGCAGTATTGCTGAAAAGAAGGCCAAAAGAGAGAAGACCGCTGCTACAAAGCTCCGCAATCAATACAAGAAGAAATGGGGCCATTCGCCGCCACCGGAGCCTACATTGCCAGATTTATCTTCAAATGACGTGGAATTGGCAAATATACCGGATAGCGAGCTTTTTTGTATAGTTTCAAAGCCATTGCGTTGATAGATAGTGTGAATAGTTGCAAAATTTACACATGGCCGTTATTTACACAGGGCCGTGGCCCACCCATATCGCGTAGGCGGTATGGGTGGGCTCCCCTGAAAGGTCGATCCGCCACAACTACTATGCAATAATATTTACCACAAACTACCATTTCCACTATCCCCGAATGTATACAGCCTCCGAGTCTGCCAACGGGCCACGGTATAAGAATTTTTCCCTCGTTATATACAAACTTGAATCCATTTCGAGTCCACCTTCCGGATCAACCTTAGCCCTGAACTAGATTCATTTCTTTTGAATGACCTCCCTAACAGCAAACTCAACCCCAACCTCATACCCATACGCCCCCAATCCAACAATAACACCCCTCGCTTTATCCGAAAGATAACTATGCGCCCGAAACTGTTCACGAGCATGCACATTCGAAAGATGAATCTCAACAAACGGAATTTGAACACCTAGCAACGCATCACGAATCGCAACACTGGTGTGTGTAAATGCGCCTGGATTGATGAGGATAACATCGGTGTTTCCTCGTGCGGCGTGGATTCGATCCACGATTGCGCCTTCGTGGTTTGATTGGTAGGTTCGGAGCTTTACGCCCTTTGATGAGGCTAGTTCTGTGATGTCCGTTTCGATGTCTGATAGGGTTTTGTTGCCGTATATGTGTGGTTCGCGGGTGCCGAGGAGGTTTAGGTTTGGGCCGTTTAGGAGGAGGATTGACATTTTGGGTGGAGGGTGAAGGGGGTTTAACTTGAAGATGGGTTGGATTTGTTGGTGCCAGTGGCGATGTAGTGATTTTGGCTGAGTTGAATCGAATGTTTTTGTAGTATTTATACTAAGGGTTTATGTAGTGCTAGTGGTTCAAGTTGGTGGTTAGGTCGGTTGTGGACTTAGCCGACCGGGTATCTGTGTATTACATGGTGCGTGTTTCCAATTGGGGGTAACTATTCATAACTAGAAAAAGTAGGTGAATTGCGGGTCATCGAATGGGTTAATCGTGAGTCGTATGAGATTATGAATGGGGTTGGCGAGAGCTTTACTTTAGCTCATCGGCGGATGTTGCAATTGGGCGAGGAAATCTGTGTCCAGGTCTCCATCGTAGAAGCCGAGATTGTGCGCGAATGCGGGTTCTTGCCTGGATATTGTTAGTGACTTTAAAAGTGAAAGTACTGTTTGTTGCAGAGACGTACCTGCTGGCTGGGAATGAAGTGACCATTTCCTCGAAGAGTGCGTCGTACATTTCTGCATCGCCTGTTCCGCCTAGGGACTGTAGTGGTGGGAATTCGTTGGATGATGGGATTGTTGGGAGGTTCATTACTGATGATGGCTCGGACTCTTGAGGAATGAAAGATGGTGGAGTTGCATTTGAGAAGTCCGCTAATGTGGGAATTGATAGTGGATTTTCAAGGTTGACCTGTGGTTGGTGTTCTCGTTCGAGGGATGGGATGGGGAGGGCTGGATGTGATAATTGGTTCTTCCATTCGGCAAGACCGATTGGTCTGAGAGGGTGTAGGAAGCTGGAGATTCTGTTTTGAAGGGACTGGGTATCAGACAAATTTCCAATCGCCAGGGACTTTTGGCACTGCAGTGCGAAGCAAAGGCTGAGAGGTGATGACCCTTTTGCCCCGGTCATCTCACGATAATGATCCAGGATGTCAAGTGTATGGTGAATTGTATGTGCACACAAATCTTCACTCGCAGATGAGACCGGCTCAAACCTGCGACAGAATGCAAGTGTTGTGAAACCTGAGACGAGATGGAGATTCAATAGTGCAGGCGTGGCATAATTTTGTCGGTCGTATGGGTGGCTTCCTGAAATGATATTCTGTCTTGTTCGTAGTTCGTTCAAAAGGCTTTCAATTCCGGATGGACTCAAGGGCTGGTATAAGACCCGAGATAGTTGTTGCATGAGTTGCTGAATGTGGTTGAATATGCTTAATGCTCTCAAGGGTGCTGCAGGCGTTCTTTGTCCGTCTTCGTCCATCCCAGGCCGAGATGGTGACCATACATCCCACTCTTCCAAATCGTCTTCTTCTACTGGACCATACATTGATTGCTCCTCCCGAGAAAGGCAGGGAGCTCGATCCAGAAGTGTTGATAGCATATTGTCCAGAAGGACACATCCATTGAAAACGTGGTTGAAACGGGCCTTCCTCGCTGACAATGGCAAGGTCACCAGTATTCTCGATACTTTTGCAACTAATGGCCATGCTTGATTGATATTCCCCATGGCTACATGCATCAATACAAGAAGGAGCATTGCCTGGATGTATCCTAAGTTCAAGGTTTCCCACTGCATCAATGCTTGCTGCTCAATGGCGAGTTGAAGAGTGAATAAGTTGGGTGTTCCGGGTTGCGCATTTCCTCGCATGGCGGATGTATACGCGATAAGAGACCAAAGCAAGATTTTGGATGAAAAGTCTCCATGATCATTTCCGTTGCTATTGCCATTGCCCAAATGCATGGCACGTAAAACCGACCGACGCTCGAGGATTGGGAACCAGCAATGGGTATAGGTAAAATAAAAGTCGACGAGATCGGATGTTCTATCTGGCAGTTGCACATTCATGAATATATGCGAGTGTGAAGCGTCGTTTGGTAGCTTTTGAATGAGCGCGGGCTTATGGGGTTCTGGATTTGATGGTGCATTATCAAGATCCGCCATAGTCTCGTCATTATCCCGGGACTCAGCGAGCTCCTCGGGCTCCCACTCAGAGTCATCAAAAACCTCATCATCAGACCCCGGTGAAATTAGCTGTGACAGGTCTCGGTATGGTTTGGATTTTCGCCAAAGCGAGACAGAGCGTTTTGCAAGCTTGCTCGTCAGGAAATTGCCCTGGCCTCGTGAATCTCGAAGTACGTTGTGCGCCGTATTCTGGCTATTCGGAGCATGCTGAAAGATCAGACCCAGGGTAATCTCTAGGCTACGTACATAGCCAGATGGAAGTCCTCGTCGGCCCCCGCCGGTCTCATAGGTGCAGGCCCGCTTAGCCTGGCTGCAGATGGAGCAAACGGGCTGTTCTCCATCACACTTGGATTTACGCCGACGGCACTGATCGCAGGCACGGTAAATGCGTTGCCGTTTCGGCGGACGTGGGCCCGACATTTTGATGCATTTCAATAGTGAAATAAACCTATTTCCGACGGTCGTGAAGCTCGGCGATTCAGTGGCAACAGGTCATGTGATCGGCTTGACTTTAGCCGGCGATGAACTGCTTTCGACTTCAATGGCAAAGCGATGGCAAATACGTTCAAAGTCATCTCGATTCACCCTGCTGGGCTACAAATTGCCTTTAGAAAAGACTTCCATCGAAATGAGTACCGTCGCTGGCTCGACAACTCATGGGAAGCCTAGCAACCCTCACCTAGGGCCTGCGGATGACGCTCTAGGAATTCGCCGGCACTATGATCCACATTCTACACTGCTACTAGTAGGCTTTTTCGGGGCTGGCAAAAGAACATTGGGAATCATAGCATCGGTTGCGTTACGGCGTCGCTTCATCGATTTTGATTCATATTTTCAACAACAAGTTCAGTCTTCGCCACAAAAATTCATTGCACGTCATGGACTCGCACAATATCGCGATATCGAACTCAAGGTCTCGAGGGAACTTCTCTCCAACAACGAGAAAAATTGTGTCATTGTTGGTCTTGGAGCATTTGCAAGTCGTCCCCAGCTAACGCTGCTGGCGGAATTTGCCCAGCAACACCCTGTTGTATATGTGAGACGAGACGAACAAGACTTGCGACAATTCGTCACAACAAGTCAAGAGAAATTCGACCGACTATTCGAGCTAGGAAATGAATTCTTCGAGTCATGCTCCAACTTTGACTTTTTTAACCTCACTCAAGGTCTGCCTCAGCATAAGTCAGTTCCCGCCTACCTCAAGCTCAAGGAAACGGAGCGCCTATTTGTGACGTTTCTACGTCGCATCTTTGGATCATATATCCCCCAAACCTTCTCATCAGAGCCCTTCTCTGCATCGCACACATTTTCTCTGGAAGTGTCTTCATCTTGGCTTGAAGACAAGTCTCGAGAATTGGAACTCCTGGAAACTGGCGCTGATGCCATCACCCTGGTGGTGACACCCCACGAAATACATCCTGCTAGACTTGCAGCTAGACTCTCACGACATATTGCAACCCTTCGGAAGCACTCACGCGTTGCAATAATCATCGATGCAGAGGGACTTTCTTCGAGTCCGCAGGACCCCAGGAGCTACAACCAACTCCTTGGAATGATTCTTCGCCTTGCCCCAGAGGCACTTGTAATATCACTCGAATGCGATGAAAGGGTTATACGAAGATTGAATGCTTCCAGGGGATATACAAAAATTATCGGTGGTCTTCACGATAAGCTCCCTGTCGGTTCACGCCACGCATCAATCACTCCCGCTGCCCTTCATGAAAAGACACGGCAATTTGAACTGGATGCGATCCGCCTCACTGGTGAATCTCAACTTCCGGATGACAATCTGCAGTGTGTCTCATTTATTCAAGAGGCCACGGCTTTGATCAATTTACCTGTTATCGCGTACAATAGCGGATCGCTTGGTCGAGCTTCAATATGTCTAAACCCTACTCTCTCACCTGTCGTGTTACCGTCAACGAATCACGACGGAGTAACCCTCCAGAAGGCGCAGCTTGCAATGGCAGGGCTCTTCCTATTACCGCAGAAGAAGTTCACGATTTTTGGTCGGAGTGTTAAGTACAGTCTCTCACCAGAAATGCATCATGCAGCGTATGAGTACAGCGGACTTCCGCATACATACGACACTACGCAAGCTGACGACATATCTGTTGTTAATCAACTTTTAAATGACAATGATCGTGGTGGTGTCACCATCTCTCTTCCATTCAAATCTGCTGTTCTCCCATTCATCGATGAGATCACGCCAGACGCAAAGGACATGCAAGCAGTCAATACTGTTGTGCTTGAGCAAAATTATCAACCTGATGGCTCCCGAGTCACTGTTCGAAGAGGGTACAACACTGATCATATTGGAATAAGAGATTGTATCGACAAGCACCTCTCTCCCGCGAATGCTGTTCGAGACGGGACCACAGCTTTGATCGTTGGTGCGGGAGGAATGGCTCGCGCAGCGATATATGCTTGCTACGAACTCGGCGTTCGACGAATCTGCATTTATAACCGCACCCACGAAAATGCGCAAAGACTTGCTGATTATTGGAACGAATGGGCACAATCTAAGGCTGGGGTTAACCTGCTAGTTGATGTTCTCCGCTCATCAGATCCCTGGCCATCTGATATTCGCTTGCCAACTATCGTCGTGCCCTGCATCCCTCCCTTCCAAATCGGCAGTGAACAACACCCCGTCGTTTTCAAAATCCCGGACGAATGGCTGGAGAGCCGAACAGGTGGCGTATTTGTTGAGGTATGTTTTGCCATTGTGGTGAGCTGGGCCGGATACTGACTAGTATAGGTTGCATATGGTCCTTTCAAGACACAACTCATGGAGCAAATGCTGCCGCGTGCATCTAAGGGATGGGTTGTTGTGAGCGGCCTGTTAGTTTTGATCGAGCAGGGTATTGCTCAATATGAATTATTCACGAAGAGGCCTGCGCCTGTTCATGTAATGCGGCGGGTTATTCAGGAGCAGTCGCTTAAATATGGATTCGTCCACCAATGATATTCCCAGTGGTGTAAAAATCTGTTTATACATAGCAGAGTGATAATGTTTTCAATTCTAATGACAATACCTATGAAAGCAGAAAAGAAATTAACGATTAAGTTCCAACATCAGGCGCTTCGTAGAACGGAAGATTGATTGACGAATCCAGGTCACTACAAGACGAATACATAATTCTAACAGCCGAGGCTAGCGGTAGTATTTTGAATCTAGTAGTTCTGAGAATTCGGATGAGATCTTGACCGGAGGGGGGAATAGGCTAAGAATTTAGCCTTACAGAAGATGACGTTAAGTACGAACTGGGTGGCAATCGACCACTTGATTACCATCCAACATTCTCCATAACGATAGCCCTTACTATACGATATGGAATACAAGCCGGCTATTATGAGTGCGTCCCTCGGACGTGCTTGGCTGCACGACCTCGATTACAAAATTGAGCAAGCCGGGAAAGCGGGGTTTAAAGGCATTGAAATCTTTTATGAAGATCTGGATTATGCCGCTCGCAAGCTCTCAGGAAACGACTCTCCAACATCCGAGCATATTCTACAAGCAGCACAAAATGTCCATTCGAGTTGTCAAACCCAAGGTCTTGAGATTATCGGCCTCCAGCCGTTCCTATTCTACGAAGGTCTCAAGGACAGAGACCAACATGCACGTTTGATCGAGAAACTGAAGCTGTGGTTCAAAATCGCAAAGACTCTTGGAACGAATACCATCCAGATCCCAGCCAATTTCCTACCAGCGGAGCAATTGACAGGTGATCGAGAGGTGATTGCTGCTGACCTGCGCCAAGTCGCGGACATGGGTGCGGCTGAAAACCCCCCAGTACGATTTGCCTACGAAAATCTTTGCTGGAGCACCCATAACGATACCTGGGAAAAGATATGGGATACTGTCAAACGCGTCGATCGACCCAATTTCGGCATGTGCCTGGACACTTTCAATATTGCTGGCCGTGAATGGGCGGATCCTGCTTCCGCAACGGGCAAAACGCCAAATGCAGACGAGAATTTTAAACTTTCATTGGAGAAACTCGTGAAAGAGGTCGACGTTTCGAAAGTCTTCTATATCCAAGTAGTCGACGCTGAGCGCATGGAATCACCCCTGGTAGCTGGTCATCCGTTCCACCTTGATGGTCAACCGGCTCGAATGAGCTGGTCGCGGAACGCCAGAACTTTCATGTATGAAGAGGAAAGAGGTGCTTACTTGCCTGCGGAGGATGTGGCTAAAGCGATTATATCGGGTCTTGGGTATCGCGGTTACGTGTCTATGGAATTGTTTTCGAGAACCATGGCGGAAGAAGGGAAACAGGTACCGGATCAACACGCAGCGAGGGGTATCCTGTCCTGGAAGAAGTTTCAAGAGAGACTGAACTTGAACTAGAGATATGATAAATAAGAACTTGAATCCTATCAAATGGTATGCGTACCAAAGGCAGTAGCGTTGTGATTAGTGAATTTATCACACAAGCTAAATCTATACATCAATGCTTTTTCCATCCAGCCAATCCTTAGATAGTCTGTACAGAAGATCATGCTTCTCCCCGCACACAGTTCCAACATGTCGCCTATGTCCAGGCATATCCTTCAGCACGGTGACACCCATGGTGTGCTCCTGGCAATACGCCAGACATTTGTATCCCTCAGGATAAGAGTTGAGCTTCTCCTCGTGTATTCTGGGAATCTTGTTCGGGTTCACTGGCAGAAGCTTATCCTTTTCATACCAATGACGAACAAACTGAGCACCCCACCGCCCATCAATCTTTTCAAAGAAAAAGCAGAAGCGGCAATCAGCTTCGGCGTCAACCTCGCAGCCGTCGATGGTGAATCGCTGGGTGATGGTTGCCTTCATTTTGGTCACTGCACGAGTTCCATCGGGTGTGATATCTGTTGTCACTCCATGGCAGCGATGCATAATGAAAGCACCTTTGTCCATACCCGCTTTCGAGGCCGCCATGAAATCCTTGTAGTGAACGCGGCCGGACCAGGTAGTGTACACATGGGCATCTTTGTGAAAGATCGATTCGAAATTCTCCCATTCACATGAGTCGCTGATGAAATTAGCTAGAGAGCTTAAATCGGATAGGAAGAGCTGGATACATACCGGTAGCAAGGCCACCCTCTGCAAGTTCACGCAGCTTGGCTCGCTCGAGAACTAGACTGTCCGGGCCGTTGTTGCGAATAGCGTTTTCGGGCCAGGTGCCCTCGGGCAAAGAGTGTAAATCGACCATTTTGTTTGTCGAATGATTCAGTCTAGAGTTTTACCCCCTAAGCGCGTGCATCTCATGGTTCCTAAATATAATATTAATGGCGGGTTATCCGGTCGGATCATCCGGTGTCGGCAAAGGTCATTACCGACGCCACCCCCGCATCTGATGGATATTGATGGATGAAGTCGGCCATTGGCAAAGACAATTGGATTGTGTAATAAAGCATTGGAATTGGCCACTGCTAGGCTACGGTGCAGCTCACCTGCGCACTTGAAGTTGTAATTAACAAGATATTACCTATATCTAAGTTCTCGGGAATGCTGCTAGTACTACTATCACGGTGGTAAAAAGAACTTCAAGTTCAAGCTAAATTCATAACTGAAATTCTATTAGGTCTGCCTAGTGCCCAGGTGTTTTCTCAAAATGTCAAGATTCACTCTAAGATCGTCAAAACATACTGAATTATCTTCAAGGAAACATAGTAGTATATTAAAAATTGATGCCCTTGCTTTCTTCCGCAGCCTTCAGTAAAACATCCCAAGCACCCTCCCTGTCCAACTTCTGACAAGCCTCCTCTCCGGCCCACAAGCGCCATTGCTCCTCGATCTGATATCCAATGACATGTGTACCCTCAACGCTAGGATATCCAAGTTGTTCTGCCAACTTAATCATCCGGGTTCTTCTCGGCTTGAAGCACATGTCTAACAAAACTCCCTTCTCCGATCTGGAGAGGAATTGCTTCGTAATCGAAGCGACTTCGATTTCGGTTTCTGTCTTGGGCTCAAGATCAGGAACCGTGCCAACAATGTAGTAAGGGCTTGATAGCTTCTCGGCCTGTGCGATCGTTTTGACATGAACGATGTTCGGAGGATTGGGGAGTTTCTTTGAATCACGAATGAGGTTCACCACCTCTTCATCGTCGCGATTCAAGACATAGATTGTTGGACAATAAAGATGCTCGCTGAGAGCGTAGACAGCCGCACGACTTGCTCCACCAGCACCGATGATCAAAGCTGATGCGAGAGATGTTGGGGAAGGTCTGGTCTTCTCTTCTCCTTTCTCTAGTAAACAGCCCTTGATTCCCCTCCAGTCTGTGTTGGTACCACAGATTCGCCTAGAGCCATCGTTCTTGTAGTAGACATTATTACATGCTCCAATTATGGACGCGAGTTCGTCACGCTCATCGAGATGCTCCATGATCGAGCCCTTGTAGGGCATTGTAACAACGAGACCAGCGGTTTTCGGGTTTCGGGCCAGGTTGAGCAGCTCTTCTGTGGTCGGGCATTCGGTCGCATAGAATGTCCATGGCAGACCGAGAGACTTGGCGATATAGTTGTGCATATTTGGCGCAATAGAATGCGTAACGCCAACCCCAACAAGGTGGAGGGACATCTCTTGTTGTTGTGCCATTTTTGCTGAGGACTGGGTTCGACGTGAGAAACCCTTGAAGGTATCCTTTGTTTCCAATTATATCTAAAGGCAATGCCCCTCATTCACCTAATATGTCATGTTTTGAGACGGATTTAATCATATCCTATATGAGTCTTATCTGGTTCGGACCGGCGTGGCTTTGCACACCATCGAAGGGAGGCTAAATCCATAACCGAAGCTAAACCGAATTACTTAGATCACGGTTATGTTGAGAACAAATAGAAAAAGATATCGAAAACTAGTGAAAGAGAATTGATTTCCTTTGCAGAATCTCCATTCCTTCACAGAATCTCCATTCCTTCACAGAATCCCAAACCCACTCCCAGCATTGCAAATCAACCACCTCTTCAATGGCCTCGACGCACTCCCCTAAAGCCTTCCACATATTTGGCAGTGGCATTTCATTCAGCATTTCACCTACCATTCACAACTCGGGCTTCCAACATTATGGCCTACCCTTCACATACGATATCCGCGAATCACCTAGCATCGACGACGTGGCAAACTTGATTTCCGATAAGAAACTAGGTGGTGCAAGTGTGACTATGCCACACAAATTGCACGTTCACAAATACTGTACCGACCAGACAGACACAGCCAAATTGATCGGAGCAATCAACACACTGGTTATCAAGAACACTAGCGACGGTCGCACGGTAATTGGTGATAACACCGACTGGTCGGGACTACACACCATCATCAAGGATTATTCCAAAGTGGCAACCCAGCAGCCGACTGTAGGACTGGTTATCGGTGCCGGGGGTGCTTCCAGAGCTGCTTTATATGCTATGCACCGAGCAGGTATTCAGCATATCTACCTCGTCAACCGCACACAGTCCGTGGCTGAAAAGGTTAAGAAGGATTTCAAGCCTGCCTTTGAAATTACTATACTCCCGAACCTACAAGAGTTGCCTCGCATGCCGCATGTGATTATCGGAACTGTGCCTGCAACAGTCACGACTGAGGATCAGTTCTCTGGCATATTTGGCTCTTCGGGCCTTTGTATCGAGATGGCATATAAGCCTAGGCAGACGCCGCTCCTAACAGTTGCCCAGAGACATCCAGGGTGGCAAACTGTTACAGGATTAGAGGTCCTTCTGGCCCAAGGATATGACCAGTTTGGTCTCTGGACTGGTCTTGAGCCACCCAGGGAGAAGATGGTTGAAGCTGTTGCTGAGCACGAGCGAGAGAAAGCGAGAAAGGAGATGGCAGGATTGTTGTAAATAACTAAGGCGTTTTCAGCTTTGGATGAAGTATACCAATAGACAGACTGTGAGATTTTAGCTCATTTTTTTTTCTATTGAGTGTATAGTGCGTAGATAAACCCTCGCTCGACGGGTTTGTATACTGTTTCGTCGAACTTGAAGCCGTCGGAATGAACGACCCCGGCGGCGCGGTCTTTTTCTTAGCCGAAACTTACTGCATGACAGCAAGGACTTGGAGCTAACAATTGATCATCGTTCAGTTGAATCATTAAATACGCCTTCGATCTATTCAAACTCGTTGATCTGCACTATTCATCGACCAGACACCCACAGACCATTCAAATATTCTTCAATCCTCTTCTCGCAACATGGACCCCGCATCAAGCTCAGCCGATATCCTGGCAGCATCATACAAATATGGATCTACCTTCAAGACACCGGCAGAACACAACGCCCAAATGAAGACCTTTCTCTTCGGCTACCCAATCAGCCACTCTCTGGCCCCCCCTACTCCACGGGCATCTTTTCCGGGGAGTGGGCGTCCCGTGGACTTTTTCCTTGCTGGAGACAAGGGATACCACAAAGTTTCTCCCCACGCTGAAACAATCGGATGTCATTGGCTGCGCCGTCACTATGCCTTATAAAGTCACCATGCTCTCCGCCGTAGATGAGCTGACCGAAGAAGCGCGCATGGTTGGTGCTATCAATACCATTTTCCTTCGCAGGGGTGAAGATGGAAGGACCCGATATATTGGTACTAACACAGATACCATTGGGGTCCGGGAAGCTTTTCTTAGGAATCATTCTCAACTTCCTGCGCAGTCAGCTGGAAGACCGGCTCTGGTGATTGGTGGTGGGGGAGCTTGTAGGGCAGCTGTTTATGCCCTTTCAAAATGGATGGGGGTCAGCAAAATCTACATGGTGAACCGGGTTGAGAGCGAGGTTCGGGATATTATGAGCTCCTTCGAAAGTGCTGGATTGAATGTTGAATTGATATTTGTTTCGACTATCGCCGAGGCGGCTGTGTTAGAAGCACCGGCTCTTATTGTTGGGACGGTGCCGGATATCACCCCGAAAGAAAAAGGTGAGATTCTTGCGAGAGAGATTGTGGATGTTTTCTTGGCGAAGGAAGAAAAAGGATTTGTTCTGGAAATGTGCTATCATCCTAATCCTCGGACCTACTTCTTCAATCGCTGTGAAGAGATGGGGTGGAATGTGCTATTTGGGACAGAATCTATGCTCTGGCAAGGCGTTGCTCAAGAGAGCCTCTGGACAGAGCTGCCGATGCACCAATTCAACCTCGGCGAAGCGAAGGAAGCTCTTGTTAATGCGATTGAGATGCATTCGGTGCATTAAGACTGAGAAATATGTGATGTAGATTCTATTTTGTTTATTTCCAATTGGCCAGACCTGCTGGGCTCTATCCGGGGTATATACTTTTTGATATTCTTTGAAATGCATCCAACGCTGAACTTATAAACCACTTAAGCGGCTTTGCAAGCGTGCTGCTCCGGCTTCGTCCGACCGAGACCTTCCTTGGCATAGAAGTCCATCGGGTAGACACCCTTGTTCGCCTTGTCCCAGTTCTCACGAACACCCAATGCAATCAGTGCTTCGTAGGGTGTCAGCAACGGGCGCGCAAAGGCATATCCCCAGTCGATACTCAAGCGCGGGCAAGCGATTTGAACCCAGCACTCGACATCAGCCATTGAGGCCAACTTGCCAGGGAAGATCTCGCTCAGCAGCAGATTCACCACTGGGATGCCCCGCTCAGCAAGATGACGTTCAATCATCGCCATTGTGTTGGGATTTCCTTGACGACCCAGTGATCCCAGAATAATTCCCCATTTCTTGGCAGATTTAGCGGTGTTGATGGCATCACGTCGAATGGTGTGCATCTCTTGGTGATCGTAGCTCTCACGGGTCAACGTGCGGGAGTAAGGGTCGTAGCGGTATGCAGGGATGGTGGGGTTGTGGATCATAGCGGATTCAAGATGGAAGCGACCATCGCCGAGATAGAGAATAACATCGATATCGGTGTCGGAAAGCTGAGGCGACGTGCAGCCTAGAATTTCGCCCTTGGAAAGTGGCATGATCTGTGGGACCACAACCTTGAAGCCGGCACGCTCTAAAACTGGTTTCAGGCCGTGGAGAGTTGCGTTGAATTGAATGGTGCCCACTGTAGCGATAGTTTGGCCGGGCCGGAAGTTTCTCTCAAGAGTTGCGATCAAGTGGGCAGTATCGATACTGATATCGACGAAGATATAAAGGGTCTTGATTTTGGTGACATCAACGGGAATCAAGCAACTGTGGGCGTAGTGGACAAGCAGATCACAGCCAAGCGCTCGCGCGGTGTAATCATCAATGCAGCAAGCACCGTAGGTGACATCGCCCATAATCAAAGTCTCGATTCCAGGACAAAATTGGGTCAAGATATCGGAGATGGTGGTAGCGAAGATCAAAAGACCTTCAGGAAATTGTAAGGCCACCCGTTTCGCTCCGGATGTGCGCACACGGTGAATGGTCTTGGGGATTTCGAAGGAGTAGTTTTTGGAAGTAATTCGATGGCTGCTTGGATTTCCGGGTCGTTCAGGATCTCAGGTGGAACTTGGTTCAGGGTTCGAGGGGTACGTCGTGGAGCCGCTGAGGGGAATCCAATGTTAGTACGAGTGAATCACAGGTCAAGGAATATAGTTGCGACAAATCCTTCATACCTCGCTGGACAGATGTTGACTCGACATCCTGCTGGGAACTGGAGCCTCCATCCTTCTGGGCCTGAGCATCTGCTGTGCGTCGACCAACAAAACGCTTCTTTGGCTGTCGCAAAGGACTTGTCTGGGTGGTAGGATCCTCCATGATCGAATCAATGACAATGATAATGTTAGTGTTGGAGGTGGGATGATCGCAAAGGAACCCCGCGGCTTTCTTCATTTTTTGCGGTGGGGCTGATAACACGCTAGTCCAAGAAAGGGAAGGCGCTCTCCAACAGATGCGGAGTGATGCCACCCACACTTTCCTCCTCTTCTTGACTCTCGACCTACTTACTCTCTACTTACTCCTACTCATACCCTACTGCTGGTTCTGCTATAATAGGTATACCTGACCTTCCGCAATGGCATTTCGACCCCGTTTACGCCTGCTATCCACCTTTCGGGCACCTCTATCTACTCGCCGCTTTGCGACCGAGTCGCGGTTAGCCTCGGACCATGTACGCATCGTCGAGGTTGGCCCTCGTGATGGTCTACAGAATGAAAAGAAGGCCATTCCAAAGGAAACAAAGCTCGAATTGATTGAGAAATTGGCCAAGACAGGTGTCACTACCATCGAGGCTGGCTCATTTGTCCCCGCCAAATGGGTACCACAGGTATATATAGCTCTCGGCACACCTCGGTCGTATGAGGGGATAGACTTCAAGTTGACTGATCTGATCTGTATGGGAATCATAGATGGCAAGCACGGCTGAAATCTGCGAGCATCTTCTCACATCCCCGCCTTCATCTCAAAATACAACAATCGCATACAACTACCTTGTTCCTAACATTAAGGGACTGGAAAGCTTGGTGAAGATCATGGACTCCACTGGCGTTCCTGCCCATGCACCGGGCTCGGCAACCAAAGCCGCTACCACCACCGAAATCTCTCTTTTTGCAGCCGCCACAGAAGCTTTCTCCAAAGCTAATACTAATTGTACAATTGCCGAGTCGTTGGAGCGCATCAAGCCAATCGTCGCATTGGCTAAGACAAAGGATATCCGAGTTCGCGGCTATGTATCAGTTGCTCTCGGATGCCCCTACGAAGGCCCCGAGGTGAGCCCAACCAAGGTGGCAGATATCACGGCAACTCTCCTGGAGATGGGCGCCGACGAGGTATCGGTGGCCGATACCACCGGCATGGGAACGGCGCCCCGAACCGTGGAGCTTCTGAAAGCTCTCAAGGCCGCGGGGATTGCCAACACTGACCTGGCGTTGCACTTCCACGACACTTACGGACAAGCCTTGGTGAATACGATTGTTGCGCTGGAGCACGGTGTCCGCATTTTCGATAGCAGTGTTGGAGGTCTGGGAGGATGCCCGTACTCCAAGGGTGCCACTGGCAATGTCTCCACGGAGGATCTTATCCACACGATCCATAGCTTGGGAATGCATACGGGTATCAGCTTGGAGGAAATGTCGCAGATCGGGTCATGGATCAGTGGTGAGCTGGGCCGCATCAATGATAGTCGCGCGGGCAAGGCAACCTTGGGTCGGCTGTCAAAAATTTGAAGAGCAGGCGTTCTGTCACTATCATAATTTGTAGCCATTTCAAGTTCCCACGCGATTTCGTTCCAGCAAATAGTTCACCCTTCGGATCAGAATACAACCACCACATGCAACAATCTCGCGAGAAACAAACCGTGTTTGTGACATGGACAGAACAATTCGGATTCCAGTTGAGTCCATTATATGTACATCAATTGATCAAACCATTTACAATATGCAGTTAAATATGATCAGCAAGAGTGGGGAAAGGAGTAACCAACGCCAGCTGTATGCAAGTCGACACCATGTAACATCCGACTTAGAAGTCCGTCACACGTCCACCATAACTCCAATCTCCCCCAGATCCCCACCGCAGAGGCTCATTCTTGGGTCCACCAACTTCTCCCGTCTTGGGGTTTTTCTCGCCCTCGAACTCCGGCTTGACGCCCTTGACAGCATCCGGGTGCAGCTCCTCGCCATTGCTGTTGACTTTGGCCTCGGCTTGCGGAGATTGGTTGACCTGGGGCGTAGTGAAAGCACCTGTAGAGCGGCGTTGAAGCTCTTCGAAGATCTCTTGTTCCTCCTTAGGTAGGCGAGGAGGGGCCGGGCCACTCTTGAATCCGAAGGAAGGTCTGTCGTCCTGCGAATTGCGCAATGCGCGGGTGGTGGATAGAGGACGGATGGCAAGCCGGTTGGAGGCGGAGGGGAGGGTAAACGTGCGGCGCATGAGAGAGGCCATGGCGAATGAAATTATTGAGGGACTTTTTTGAAATCGATGGTATTGAATCGGACCAGAGAGATGAGAGAATAAGTGAAGAGGAGGGATTTGCTCTGCAAATGAGAAGAAGAGGAAGAGTCGCGAGGGGCGCTTCGGGAGTGGCGCCGATCCGGCCTGACTAACGCCGATCGTCGCCGACATCGCCTTTTTTTGTGAATGACTCGATTGGACTTGAACCTTCCCTCCCTTCTTCCTCTTCCCCTTCCTCTCGGACTCTCACGACCAATTCCCTTTATAACCACCGTGGTCATGTCTGCTCTCCGTTTGGCTGCGCGCCGTCTCCCTCGCGCCTCGAAGCTGGTCGCATCGGTCGAGTCCCCGCTGCAGCGCCGATTTGCAGCAACCAGCGCTGCTCAGGCTCAGGTCAAGGTAGGTGCAATTGCTGCAATTGACCGACATATTGCGCTTGGATGTTGCACTTGTGTTCATGTTTAACTAACCGTCAAGCAGAAGGATGTCTCCCTGCCCAACCCCGATCCTACATCCGACTCGATCACAGTCAAGTTCGTCAATGAGCGGGCTCCGTATATGGTGCCGACCTATGTCCGCCCGGCTCCCATGATGATGAAGGGACAGGGCTGCTACTTGTGGGATATGGAGAACCGTCGGTACCTTGATTTGACCGCTGGTATCGCTGTCAACTCTCTTGGTCACTGCGATCCTGAGATCGCCAAGATTGTCGCAGAGCAGGTGCGCATTTGAAAATGAGTCACGACTGTTTTGTATAGAGTCACAGCTGACCAGAAGCCCTTGTTATAACCTAGGCCGAGACTCTTATTCACGCCTCCAACCTCTACCACAACCCGTGGACCGGTGCCCTCAGCCAACTGCTGATCAACCTTACCCGCGAGTCGGGTGGTATGCGCGATGCCTCCCAAGTCTTCATCTCCAACTCCGGTACCGAGGCCAACGAAGCTGCCATCAAATTTGCCCGCAAGGTCGGCCGCACTCTGGATCCCTCCGGTGACAAGCACGAGTTTGTCTCCTTCAACGGCTCTTTCCACGGCCGCACCATGGGTGCCCTCTCCGCGACCCCAAACCCCAAGTACCAGACTCCCTTTGCGCCAATGATCCCCGGTTTCAAGTACGGAGACTACAACGATATCGAGCAGCTGCAGACTCTCATCACCGACAAGACCTGCGGTGTGATTGTTGAGCCCATCCAGGGCGAGGGCGGTGTTAATGTCGCTACCCCCGAGTTTCTGGTTGCCCTGCGCAAGCGTTGCGACGAGACCGGCGCTGTCCTGATCTTCGACGAGATTCAGTGTGGTCTGGCTCGCACTGGTTCCTTCTGGGCCCACGGTCACCCTTCCCTGGCCCCGGCCTCCGGTGAAGCTGCCCACCCCGATATTCTGACCTCCGCCAAGGCCCTTGGTAACGGTATCCCTATCGGTGCTACTATTGTTTCTAGCAAGACCGTCGCCGACAACATCAAGCCTGGTGACCACGGAACTACTTTCGGTGGTAACCCTCTGGCTTGCCGTGTGGCTTACCACATTGTGGCTCGCCTCGCCGACCCTGAATTGCAAGCCGCTGTCAAGGAAAAGTCGGCTATCTTCCACGCTGGTTTCGATGCCCTGAAGAAGAAGTTCCCTGATGCGATCCAGGAGGTCCGCGGTCGTGGTCTCATCCTTGGTCTTCAGCTTACCCCCGCTGTCTCCCCCAAGGCTGCTGATATCATTACTGCTGCCCGCGAGCGCGGCATGCTGATTATCACTGCTGGTGATGGCTGCATTCGATTCGTGCCTCCTCTGACCATCACCGAGGAGCAGATCAAGACTGGTCTCAACATTCTGGAGCAGGCTCTGGATTCTGTTGTGGCCTAGTTGGAGCCTTTGGTTTGGATGCCGCCTCCGACACGTTTGTTTGATATACCATTTTTTCCCTTTTTGATGAACATGGGACGAGCGTATATTCCCAGTGTGTGATAGAATGTTGCATCTCGTGTGCATATAGAGTATTTAGATAAAAAAAAGTATCTATTGATTGGTTAATCTATCATCTTATCCCAAATCTAAGCATCCCCATCTAATTATTCGTATACTCGTACGTATACTCGTATCTCCCCAGAGTGGAACTGCCGACGAGACGCGTTAACCGTGCTTGGCGGTGGATCACCACGCCGCTTGACGGTGGATCAACCTTCCTTCTTCTGCCCCATCACCTCCCTTAATCAGATATGATGAACGCCCCCCTACTACGCAAACCATGGCCCTAAACTGACCTCATAGAGGAATCCTGCTGCCCTCCAGGGCTTTTCCTATTTCCATTCCTATCTTCTCTTTCTTTCTTTCCTTGTAGTCTTTGCCCTCACGCGACCACCTGCCGGAAATGCCTCGCCCACGTCTCTCCAGGACGCTTTACCTGCCACAGACGTCACTTCAACATCTTCGCGGTGGACTCGTCTGAGCGATAAACTCAGGAGAGCCTTCCGGGGCGCAGACCCGCGGGTCTGCGCCGCTTTCTGGCTATTCGGTGGGTGTTCTATCATACTCAACTGCACTTCAACAGAGGCACCCCGCTAACAACTCGCAGGCCTGGTCAACAATGTCCTCTATGTGATTCTACTCTCCGCAGCGCTCGACCTCGTCGGCCCCGATATTCCTAAAGGCCTCGTCCTCCTCGCGGATATTATACCCTCCTTCGCGACCAAGCTGATCGCCCCATACTTCATCCACCTCGTACCATACTCCACCCGAGTCCTGATCTTCGTCTTCCTCTCAGTCGTCGGCATGCTCATCGTGGCCATGAGCCCGAGTTATACAGATGGTGGAACGATCGCATCCAAGGTTGCCGGAATCATCCTGGCGAGTCTCTCGGCTGGAGGTGGCGAACTGAGCTTCGTCGGACTCACACATTTCTACGGACCGTTCAGCTTGGCCGCTTGGGGAGTGGTACCGGGGCCGCGGGCTTAGTCGGTGCTGGCGCATATGCCCTTGCGACATCAGCCCTAAATATATCGGTCCATGTGACTCTGTTTGCCTCCGCACTTTTGCCGAGTGTGATGGCTATTGCCTTCTTCGTCATTTTGCCAAGAGCGCCTTTACAATCGTCCGGTTCGGCGGCTGCAGAAGGGCCTGGGTCTTACTATGCGGTTGAAAGAGATGAACATCCCAATGAAGATGAAATGGACGTAGATAGACACAATGAGCAAGACGACTCGGGAGAATCGCAGGGACTTCTTGCTGTCTCGGCGCATTCGGATACCCTGAAATCGGTGCAGACCACGGAATACAGTACTTGGTCAGAGCGCACGAGGATGAACTTGCGTCGTCTGGGGAAACTTTTCTTTCCATTGTAAGTATATCTTATTCTGCACCCCCGTGGCTTCACCTTGCCTGCTCGTATCTCGATTCTAACGAGGTAATGTCTTAGCATGCTCCCACTCCTCGTGGTATTCGTCTCCGAGTACGTGATCAACCAAGGCGTCTCTCCAACCCTCCTCTTCCCACTCTACACAACGCCATTCAAAAATTTCCGCGCCTTCTATCCGGCCTACAACGCAATCTACCAAGTAGGCGTTTTCATCTCACGCTCCTCAACGCCTTTCTTCCGAGTCCATCATCTCTACCTACCCGCTATTCTACAGATGGTAAATCTCGCCATTCTGACTACTCACTCTCTATTCAACTATATACCAAATGTGTATATCGTCTTTGCTATCATATTTTGGGAAGGCTTGCTGGGCGGGCTGGTTTACGTGAATACCTTTGCGGAAATCGCGGATCGTGTACCCGAGGAAGAACGTGAGTTCTCGCTCGGTGCGACGACGGTTAGTGATTCTGCGGGTATTTGTATTGCCGGGTTTTTGAGTATGCCTTGGGAGGTTTTGCTTTGTAGGTATCAAATGATACATGGGCGGGATTATTGCCGGCAAGTTTGATGTTTGGGTATTGGATCTTTCTGCTTCTTTAGCCTTATGTGATATTTGCTTAGCGTTTAAATGGCATGATAGAAATTTTCTTTTGGTTCAAACTTCCAAATAATTGAGTAATATAAGGACGACGGGCAATAAGTACGAGTTGGAGGTTGTCAGTGTCCCTGATTAAATGAGGGGCAGTCTGGCAGATATCAAATGGCGGTCCACCGGGTTGACTTCCTTTTTCGGTCCATCACAACATGAACTTTGCATTCTGGAAATTTTATCGAGTCAAACCCCCAACGCCACGAATGTTAGCAAAAAGTATCGTGAAAATTTTCCTACATCTTACGCAGCTTAACAACATATGCCGTTTTCGTTCGACACCATGGCTCGGGTAGATGATATCACAGCCGCCGATATCAACCTTCTGGCTGAATTTATGAGTGATGCCCAACTGCAAGACCTATCACCTGCATCTACCAAGCCGGTCGACTGTATCGTTATTTGCGCCTCTGCTGTTCTCGATCAAGCCACCACCCTTTTCGCCGCACTTACGCGGCGACCATCACTCGCGAAGTACCTCGTCTTATGCGGGGGCATTGGTCACTCGACACAATTGCTGTACGAGGCAGTTCGATGCCATGAAAGGTACTCCAAAATCTACAATGAAATAGAGGGACTACCAGAGGCGAGGGTTCTCGAGCGAATCTTGGATAAGTTCTTCGATCGCGCTGCGATTACAGCCCAAGGATGCCAGATTCTCATTGAGGATCGGTCCACAAATTGTGGCCAAAACGCCTCTTTTACCCGGCAAGTACTCGACGATTCAGCAGTTTATGACATGAAAACTTGCATCATTGTTCAAGATCCTACTATGATGTTGAGAACGAAGGCTACCTTTGAGAAAACCTACGAGGGTGGGCCGTGCAACGTGTTGTTTACCAGCTGCCCCGTAATCGTGCCGCGGGTTCAGGTGAATTCGAATGGATGTCTGGTATACAGTTCAACCGTTGACTGTCCTTCTCGTCTTTGGAAACACCAACGATTCCTTGAGCTTATTCTGGGGGAAATTCCTCGACTTAGGGATGATGAACAGGGATATGGCCCGAAGGGAAGAGGGTTTATCGCGCATGTTGATATACCTGCGGCGGTTGAAGAGGCATGGCTTCGCCTCGTGAGTACTGTGGGTGATTCAAGACAGATAAAATAAACGTTCTTAAATATTGGGGCAACCCAAAAAAAATCGTGCGCTGCACTATTGTACGGCGCCCCCGGCCAAGATTGCTTCATAAACCAGGAAAAACTGACTTCAATATGCGGTGTGTATGATTTGCAGCGTGACCTTATGGCCCATGTTGGATTTAGAGACAGAGTATGCTCTTTGTGTTGACCTCTTGTGGACGAGGATGTGACTGAGGACTCTTTCCAGTAACTGGGGGGAGGGGGTAGGAAGTCACGCCCAAAAAACCATCTCGTCAGTCTGAACTCTCTGAAAAGTCCGAACAGTCCGACACTTCAAAGCTTATCCCATAAACATGCAGCCATCTTTCAACATTCTCCTTTGCCAGCGAGCCATGATTACGGTGGAAGAAAATTGATGGGAATCGTGATTGGGGTAGGAACCTTCCTAACAATCAGGAGAATCTTTGGAAGATTTGTAAGGATAATATTAAGTGGTTTGAATAGATTTGACGGTTGGTGTGTTGGGGTATGCTGTTTCGGAAGAGTGGTTAGAAGGGTAGTGGTGAGTGATGGCAGGTTTACCCATCCAGGAATGCCCAGATTTCCTCGTTTTCAAGTTGAGAATACTCTCTTCTAAATATTTTTTATATGCCCTACGGTCGTCATACAGACATAGTCAATTTTTTTAAATCACATAATAACATGAATAGCTATTTCGGACTGGAATCCGTCTTTTGCTCAACTATTTATCTTGTTAATAAGTTAGTCTGTCGCTTGGGCAGTATAACTTAACTTGTTCCAGTTGGGCTATTTTTCTATTTCAAGTTTTGCTCTGCTCTGTTTGCTTCAAGTTTGACCAACTCTCTCAGCCCACGTTACTTTGTTCCTTTGGAATACTTTTCACTAAAACGCGATTCAGTGCTCTGCTGATATGCGACATCTTGCTTTGAAGCTATTTCAAGTTGTAGATACCTAAAATAACATACTACTATTATTTCAAAGAATCCTTTTGGCAAAATACTTTGGGGCGACCATATACTAAACCCCTGCGAAACTAGCATGCCAGTATCATTGGCAGGTAGATAAATGAAGATCAGAGACGGCGGGGCAATTGCAAGATATTCGCTCTCCAAAAATAGATATCTACTCTTGTACACTTCCCACCGTTTGTTATTTTTCAAGGCCGAGCCACCAAGTAGGCGCCGGTGACTTAAGGAGACTTCTAAACTTCGACCACCTTTTCTATGTCAAATCCTTCTGCTTGTGCAAAGTAGTAGCCTCTTTGATTTGAAATGACCCTTTTCCAGTGTTCGCCGTCTTGGTAGTCGCAGTTGAAGTGAGTATGACCAAAAGCCCAGACCTTTACAGCTGCGTTCTGCCAGCAGGGCTCCCTAGTCAAATCGGTCATGAACCCTGAGGAGATGCGACTGGTCGCATGCCTAGGGTCGATGGCCTTTTCGTTGGTCGTGGGGCTATAATGAGTCAAAACAATGATTGAAAGGTCTGGCTTTGATGCTGAGATGGAAGCAAGCTGTTCAGTTAGCCACGCCAGATCAGACACATGAGCTTTCTGGTGGTCATCGACGGTCCAGTCGTCGATATGATAAAAGTCGTTCAGCCCAAAATTAACATTTTCGATCTGCTCCTTGGAGATCTTCGAGAACAATGTACATCCGAGTATAGTGACATTGGATGAAATATCATATCTCGTTTGATCAAGGATAACAAATTTGCCATGTGCTTGGCCCGTGGAGACTTCGATCTCATTCTTGAAACGCTCAAGCTTCTGCTTCGCCTCCACCCAACTGCTGTGATATGGCTCATGGTTACCAAAAACTAGAAAGACTGCCCGGAAAAGCTCAAGTTGACTTCGTAGGAAGGTGAAAAAGCCATCGTCTTTGACATATCCAATGTCGCCCAGGAGGCACAAATAGGGCGCTTTAGGGGTTATTTGAAAAACATCATAAGCGGCCGGAGATTCTAGATGAAGATCGGACACTATTTGAAACCTTTCCTTGTCCTTTTCCATGGTAGCTGGTAGAAGTATCTCGACTGTTTGCACAGCTTTCGAGTGTTGTTCAGTTGACGCGTTGTTGTCGTGTCCTTGCAGGGATAATACACGTGACCTGCAGTCAAGAGATCGCAGCCAAGCGAGGCCGGTGAAATACCATTCATCGTGATATCCTGCTGACAGTGATCCTGGTGGCTGTTATGACCTATAGGAGTCACTGTAGTGGTTGTTTTCTTCGTTCACATAATGTATGTACTCGCAGACTCGCCGTCAGCTGATGGCGTCACTGGCATGTGATGTGGGGGCCTTTCACATGTTAAAATGATCAAAGACAACCACTTTTGGGTGACTCCTTCGCTTCTTCCATCCTCTTCTTGTGCATTGTGACCTTCAACTCTCTTGACTCGTTTTGCATATTTTCCCGTGTCCGTTGGTGGTACAAATCGCTTTCCCCGGAAATTACACCGTGGCGGCGGGTCAGTGCGGGTGGAAATGATAGGTACAACATCAACCCTCCACAATTTCCCCAGACGACCCAAGAAAGTCCCCGCTAACAAATTATCCCGCAGACCACGTCTTGGGGAGACCATCTACTCGATTTCGAAAAATTCAGGTCTTCGCTGTGGTTTCTTTCTGGTCGCTATATCTTTTACGGTAGGAATTTACTACGCCCTCCCTGATACAACACTTCGTGCCCAGGCTGATCTCTATACAGAGCTGATAAACATGGCCCTCCATTCATAAGATCCATTTCATCCCGGTTTACCGGCAAGCTGACAACCTGGCAAACTACCGTGATCATTTTTCTTTGGCTCTATTTAAGCCGCAACTTTGCAAAATTGTCGGCCTCGAATGCCCCGAGCCCTTAGCGAACTTGTATTCGCGATCATTCTTCCGTGCAACATGGATCACAACGGGACTAGATGCGGGATTCTGGACCGCTATGTCGATCAAGCCCAAGTGGCTGCGAGATATTGCTTCCCTAGTCTTCACCGTCTACTATCTGATCGCTGCCGAACAGGCGGATGAGAAGGTTCGGAAAGTCCGAGGCACATTGACCCTCGAGCACCTACGTGTTTCATGGAATAAAGCAACTACGCCGTATCTGTGGACGATGGCGAAACTACTTCGTCCTCGACTAACTCGGTATTCGGCCCGGGCAATTCGCATTCCGCGACCAAAGCACTCAGTCCACAAAGATCCCGTCAATGCATGGCTTTACTTTGATGGTCCACTAAGTGCGTTGCGCGACCAGAAGTGCCTGGTATTAGATATTCCGGGTGGCGGCTTTGTCGCTATGGGCCCTCGAAGCTCAGAGGACAAATTACTCTCCTGGGCGGGACAACTCAAAGTTCCAGTATTGAGTGTCGATTACAAAAAGGCACCCGAATATGCCTACCCCTATGCACTCCATGAGTGCTATGACGTCTATCATACCATAATGGCTACGAATGGGCGCTGTTTGGGAATGAGCGGCTCAGCACGCCCGCGCATCGTCGTAACTGGGGAGAGCGCCGGTGGCAATCTGGCAGTTGGAATGACCTTGATGGTTCTTCAATCGGCGATGGAGCAGGGCTGGAAAGGTGAAGAAGTACTACCAAAGCCCGATGGTCTGGTCCTAGCATACCCTGCACTCAACGTGAGAGTTGAAAGTTGGATGACCGATGAGCAAATGGCTCTGATCCAAGACAAGAGTACACGCCAGACAAACAGCGGCATTCTCCAGAGGAAGCAGGATCAATACCGCAAGCTGACTCCGTTCACTTCCCCTGGACATTCGGTTGAAGACCTGACCAAGCTTCCGTCGGAGGAAAAGCAGAAAGAGGAGGCAAATAATGTTGCCGCAGAAGCTTCAAAGGCACTTCGGGACAAGCTCAAAAAGACCGAGGAGATCAATGGGAAGGTTGTTCAACAGAGTGAAGACCAGGTTCAACCACTCAAAACTCGTCTTGCTGTTTCGTCAATGATATCATATGTCCACGATCGAATCTTGACGCCAGAAATGATGCGAGCTATGATCATTCTTTACATCGGGCCGCATCATCGGCCTGACTTCAACACTGATTTCTACCTGTCCCTGTTCTGGCACCCGACGCTCTCCTGGCAGCGTTCCCAAAGACTTACATTTTGACGGGGGAGCGTGATCCACTTGTCGATGACACTGTCATCTTTGCCGGACGTCTTCGCCAAGCCAAACTGCACCTTTTCCATGAACGTCAAGATCTTGGTCTTGAAAAGTCTCAACGCCAGTTCAACGAAAAGGATCACGTAGAGGTATCCTTAATCCCAGGTGTTTCTCATGGGTTCATACAAATGGCTGGATTCTTCCCCGACGCCTGGAAGTATATCAATCGCAGCGCGAAGTGGATTGAGTCTATCTTCGAGTCGACGGACCTTCATGAATCAGAATATAGCCTCCTTCAGCTATCCCACGCATCCAACACCACATCTGAAAAGAGGAAGGGGCCATACAAAGCGGGTTGGCAGACAAACGGTCATTCTAGACATCACCACCGCAATTTAACTGGAGAGTCTTCTGCAGACGAAGATAGACCTCTGGAAATGGGCCTGAGCAAGTTGACATCGCTCCCTGAAAATGAAAACGCCAACGCAAGTTCGAGTTTACTCTCACGCCGGAAACTATCTCGTTCATCATTCTCATCGTCCCAGCTCAAAAGTGGCCTTGCAAACCTCGACGATAGTACGGGAAGTGGAAATGATTTCTTGGCGAAGCTTAAGAAGCTAGAGATGACCGCCAACCATGATACCTTCCACCCTGATGAAGTCAACAGCGCTCCCGAGAGTCCTTCCGCGTTCCGCCCGCGAGGTAAGAGTATAGCTTCACTCGATAGTGAAGAGGATCTACTTGATCGAAGAATGAATGGAATCGCTGGTGGGCTCATGGGGTTGGGCGAAGGAGCTCAAACTCCAGGTCTCTGATAGAAACGATCTCACGACTTATGAATTACATATCATTTACATCGACTAGAAATGTTAAGCAATCAAACAGAATATCAGGTGTTATTAAACTGCGCATATTTCATTTTTTTATACGTAGCCAGTTTTATTTTCACTTGAGACAATAGTGATCATCCACCAAACGTCGTTGACATGTGAAATACCCACAGTCTTGCATGTGAAAACGGGTCGGAGATGCTCCGTGCACATGCGAGTAAGCATGCTTGTATTCTAAATTACAGCTGCCCAGCACATTTGTATGAGTGTATGTAACAAATCATTAGTGTAAAATAATTTCGACAACCTTGAAGAATACCGCGTTGGGCGTCTAATCTGCCCCAACTTAATACGCCCTGCCCGAAATTAGATGATTGGACCCTCGCATAGACGGCTTGAAACCTTCGCCTGCTCTGACATATTAACTGGTATTCAAGACTATCTCAGCTCTAAACAACCGTATAGAATGTTCAAATTTTACATTCTCGTCGCTTCTACCACCTGGGCAGATTCTACATGGGTGTTGGAGTATACGAAACCAAACCCTTTTGGAATAGCTGCCATCCATGTCTTCCTCGATCGAGTCGAGCGTTCGGGGTGCTCTTCTGTCGGAACTGACGCAGGTGAAAGCCACATTACGAAGCTGGCACATGGGACTCTATATTTCATTATTTGAAAGCTCCATTTAGACTTGAACCTCACGCCTATAGGCCTTTGATATCTGAAACTGGACAAGGGGAGATATTTCCTATATTTACAAACTTGGAAACACAATGGACTCTGCGTCTTGTTTCCATCTCTACATCAACCACTTTCTCCCGTGGCTTTGTCCTCCTTCAAAAGTGAGGGATGCCTCAATTCTAGCCCAGAGTACTGCAAATGTGGCAGCAGCGAGCAAGACCCCAACCAGGATGCTGGTATTCTCATAACTTCGTGGTCCAGCCTTTTCACCTTGACTACTCCGAATCAATAACCCAGCAAGTGGAGTACCCAACAAAGTTGCAAATCCTCGCACCATATACAAAACACCGTTGACACTAACAAAGTTTTGTACACCGAATAGCTCTACCAAACTGGTTGGGAAGAGCGAGACATAGGCCGATGCAAATACACCATAGAATATAGTGAAAACAATGAAGAGGGCGCTACCACTCGATTGAGAGGTTGATAGTGCCGAGGGCAGCCACATCGCCAGAACAGAAATTGCCGAGACAAGAGTGGTCAAGAATAAGGTATTGAGCCGGCCCATACGGTCGGCAGCATGTCCGATCGCAATCTTACCCAAGGCATTTGCAGCGTTGGAAATGGCAATGAAGTTGGCCGATGACGCCTGTGAGTACCCCAGTGTTCGCGCATATGACGCAAAGAAAAACACAGGGGTATAGTACGCAGCGGACTGAAGTGCTGCTCCTAGAGCGTGGGCAGCGAATTTGCGCGTTCTTACAACGCGCCAATCAACCAGAGGAATGCGTAGCCAGCTGAGCCTCCTCGCGTTAGCGGCATTCTCCGCTTGAATCCGGGTGAGCTGACTAGCAGGCCATTTCATGAAAAATCCGGAAACGCTGATAATCACGAAGGATATGCCTGCCGTAATCCTCAGACAATTTCGAAAACCGACGCGGGAAATCAGGGATCGGAAGGCGAGGGGCCAAACGACACCACCGAAGCCTGTCCCAGCGAGGATTATGCCCATGGCGAGTCCACGGTGGAGTGAGAACCAGGTCGGTGCTACTGTCACCGATGGCATGTAGGCCATGCAAGTACCCACGCCGAGGAGAAGGCCTTGGGTGAGGATGAATTGCCACAGGCTCTGGCTGAAGCTAGCGAGAAGGAGGGCGATGGAGTAGATTACTCCTCCACTCCAGATAACAGCTCGTGGCGAGTACTGCTTCGTCCATGCTGTTGTGAACGGAGCTCCGATTGTCATCAGCGCAATCGAGAGTGTGCCGATCAGATCGATTTGTGCCGGTGTGGCGCCAGTGAACGGTGTATTGGGGAGCTTTGACATTGAATCATACAACTCCTGATAGACTCCGAATGTAAAGTTAATGCCACATCCTGTGAATACAAGGGCAGTTGAAGATAACAAAATCAGAATTGGTTGACTGGTGGCTAATAGTCAGTACCGGCTAGTATAAAAAGGGCCGATGAGCCAAAGGACACATACATGCGGTCTGATCGTGTTTGCTGGCGATCGCCAGCGACAATCATCGGCTCTAATGGACGATCCATGGCTGCACCGCGTCTTGCGAGAGATATAGAGAGGTACGAAAATAAGAAAGTTTTTAGGAGCGGGCATTTCCTTTTCAATAAGAAGAATATCCGGCAGTTTGAGTCATCCGTGCGGGGCAACCCGGGAAGCCGAAAGTGTGGAGTAAGCCTCAAGTAAGACTGGATACTCAAAAGTTTTATCGAAGGTCTGTCTACTTATTTATTTGATTTCTTATTAATAATTTCAACATCTTGATTGCCATGGATCAAGTTCGATATTATACATGTTGTTGAGGGATGCGTGCTTCAGGAACCCGGGCAGCGGTCCCTTCTCCGCTCTGTTCTCTTTTCATATCACCACCATTCATCATATATTTGCCCAAAGACCGATGAAACCTAAGTTGTACGTGGCAATATTCCTGTGGGTTATCTTCTTGAAAATTAACGTGGTTCTAAAGCAGGAAGAGCTGGTTCTCGGGCCCTCTTCTCCGATTGATTGCCTGCAGCTCAAATCTTCTGTCTGCACACCGCCACTATACTACTTTCACAAATCATGGATAGAGACCCCAGATGTCCTAGAGCACTTTGAATACGACGCGATGCTTATCAAAGGGTATGCAAAATGGGATATATCCCCTGCCTCGCTTGTAGCCAAAAAGGCCTGCGACCTACCCTCCACCAAGCAAACGCCCACTATCGATGTCACCATCGCAGAATCATTGCCAGGAAAGCTGAAACTTTCCGATGACCCTGCACTGCGATTCAGTTCTGAAGACCGAGGGGACTATATTTGTCTGTTCGTGCTGGGATGGTCGTATATTCTGTCTGTCCGTCTGATCGATCTACATGGAAAGGATTCAGATGATCGCGTCTCATACACCGGAAATCTTGCCGAAAGCTATGTAAATGGCAACAAGCCTGAGAGCTCTCGAGTTGCCATTGACCTGAATGTTGTCACTGAAGATCATGCAGAGCTGCGATGGTGGATTCAGTTCTTGCTGATGGCGAAGGCTGGCAGGCAATACTTTCCCAAGGAGTATCGTCCACTATGGGAGTTCCATCTTCGGGATGCTTGCTTCATTCTCTCGCACAATGTAGATCTTCAACCCCATGCGTGCCAGCCTCAACCCCCATCGTCCGAGGAAGCCCAAAATAATCTTTTCAACTTTGCACGGCTCAATGGCATCTTTTACCAGCTCATAATTGACCAGCTCATAATTGGACTAGCCTCTGTTATGACCCTTCCGTCATGCAATAGGTGGGGAAATCATCCAAAGTATCTCCCGATGCCGAGGAAACCTACCAAATCTTGTGAGAGTGATATCACAGAAGCGCTGTACCATGATAATCTACCCAGTCTCTCCGAAATCCCTAATTTTATGGCGCTCTCTGCTTTTCCAGTGACTATTGGTCCAGGGTTGGCAAATAGCCTCTGGGAACAAGATATTTCCTGCAATCTAGTCAGCGAGTGGTTGAACCCAGTCTTCAAGGATATAATCCCACTTCTCTTGCAGAAGAAATACCACAAAACAATCGTTTGCGCCATGTCTGAACGGAGACCGATATGGCGCCCCTTTGGATGGGATCGGTTGTCACGGGATTGCTACCAAGGGTGCTTATTGAAGCAAAGAATCTAACCCGGGCGTGGCCAGAATCAATTATTTGGACTGGATCATCGCAATGTTTCATGGACCCACAACTTTTCAGAAGTGTGCCTGTCCAACGCGGCCCTGATGGAAAAGAGATGATTCCCGGGGAGGATGAATTCCGACTCCTCTATTTACTCGATATAGAGAGGAAAGTCTTTAGATCCCCTCCGGCGGTTCCATATCCTCCATTCGGCCTAACCAGTGTTGAAAGTTGTTCTATTATGGTCAGAAAGCATTATAGCTGTGGTCATAGGTTTCGTTATCTTTCTTGGCAATGGAGGTGTGGACAGAATCAGATATTGTGCGATAAGGGGATCTCTCATGGAGACGAGCGAATATCTACACATCCACCAGCCTTCGCAGTTTCAACATCTATCCCTGGGACAAGTGATATTCCAATGGACCCAGATTTCGATGAAAGTCAGTCTCAGCACGCGACTTCAAATGTCTTTGTGTGGCACGGCCACACCGAGGGAACGAAGCCTGAGGACAGGGAACTTTGGAAGCACGAATGGCTCTCCTGGTTCCTCGAGGATGAGGAATAACAGGAATATAGCCCGCTTAGAGGGTTGGAATTATCTGGTGATAGGAAGTTGCGCGTGAGAGAGTGGCAAGATTGTTTTAGGTTTGAGTAGCCGATTCAAAGCGTTAACTATTCCAACTTTGGACGTAGCGATAGGAGACTCCAAACCATAGCAACTAAGCCCACTGATATCATAGCTCCGAAACTCTGATTTGCCATGTATCCCTGAATCGTGAATATAACTGGCCCGTTGTTTTACCCCGCATCCTGCGACTCCAAAGCGGTTGATAAGCCCCGTCGCCTATCATTTCATGCAGGAGTTAGCACACTTGTTTCCTTGGAAAGACACGAACGGATCGCTGTCGGTTTTGTGTTCTTTAACTTGATCAAACCCGAAAACTAACTCCTCCTCGATGTCTCAAGAAATTCGAGAGGAGCTAGAAGAGCGCGGAGTCAAACGCAAGCGCGATGCGAACAAACGGCGCGCCTCGCTAGCGTAAGTGTGGGTAGCGAACTGTCGCGACTAGCCATACCATATCGCAGTAGCTGACCTCATTCAGATGCGAGACATGTCGCAAACAAAAGGAAAAATGCGAAGGCGGGCCACCCTGTTGGCGATGCGAGCGACTAGGTCGACCTTGTCACTTCCAACCCCAGCCACCCTCGAAGAAAGCGATCTGCACAGTACAAACAGCCTGCACGCCACAGGGGCTAAATGACAGTAGTCGACGCCTGGAAAATCTTGAGAAAATCGCTCGCCATTTTCTCGGAGACGTACCCCTAGACGGAGAAAGTCTCGCGCAAATTGCGGCCAAATGTACAACTAAAAGCGGAGCTGAGGGTGCTTGGGATGTGAACGAGTCTTTCGACGTTCAGTTCGTGTCAAGGGATGTCGCATGTGGGTGGATCAAGCTGTTCTGCCTTTTCTTTCCTTCCAAAACTGACGCTCTTTAGTCTATTCGGGAGAGTTTTCGCATTGGAACTTTGCAGAAAGGTTGCGACGGTCGATGAGCGATCAACGTGACACAATCGAACCAACAGTTAGTCTTTATAGTACCTATCATTGTGTCGCCTCCTAACAATCCTAGGTCAAAGAATACTGGCGCCCTACCCATCTTCAATCATCCATCCGAGTCGTTACCGAATCATTGAGTGAATTGCCTCCACAGCCGATCGCCGAATTTCTCATCAATGTGTTCTTCAAGTATGGAGAGGTCAATAATTTTTGGTTGCAGCGAGACTGGGTTGAGGACAAAATGCGCATTTGCTACGACCCTAATAGCGAATACAGGACGAACGACATTCCTTGGGTCTGTTCTTTCTTTGCGGTTCTCGCTATAGGTACTCAAATGGCGCACATGGAAGAGGATAAGTTAAAACCAGACTTGGACGCTATGAATGATTACTCTGCTTGCTCCGAAGATTCAGTCGGTCTTGTCTTCTATCGTATCGCTTGCAGATTGATCCCAGATGTCATTTTGGCCGCTTCCCAAGAAAGTGCGCAAGCCTTTCTACTTCTTGCCGCCTATGGACTACCAGTCTCAACCGGTGGCCTATCTTACACCTATTTTGGCTTGGCTTTGAAAATGGCAATTCAAAATGGTATGCACCGCAAGTGTTCTGAGGTGGAATGTGACGGTCGGACCATTGAATTCCGAAATCGCTTGTTCTGGTCAATCTATACCCTGGAACGGTATGTCTTTTCCAACAATATTATTCAGGGATCTACTCATTAATAAATGTCAAGGCGGACCAGCATCATGCACGGGCGACCCGTTTCGATTGCTCGGTCGGAGATTAGTGCAGATCTACCCATAACGCATCCTGCATTCATATCGCCTAACTACTCCAACCTGATGGCGTTCATCAATGTGGTTTTTTGGACTAGCGAAGTATCGGAGACATTGTAGGTTGCCACTTCCTTGCTGCCATGGGCCGGTGACTAACGATCGAAGAACTCTTCTGAAAAAATGTCCAAAAAGACTGATACCCGACTATTCTGATCGTCTCATGCGATTACGAAGTTCTATCAAACAGTGGTGGGATTCCTCTTCTACGAACCTCGAATGCAAGGACTTGAGTCCGCGAGGGCCATTATTTCGACAGAATTGTCATCTCAAGATGTGTTACATGCTCATTCATATTTACATGGGCCGCCCTTTTATCTTCGAATCCAAAGAAAGGGGACGACACTCGGGAGCGGGTTCCTCCAGCACCAGGTCTCCGAGTCTTTGGTCGGGTTTAGTAGAGGATTGCGTGGAGAGCGCACTAGAAATTCTCGATACTCTCCAATTGCTGGCTGATAATATCGGCCTCTGCCGTGCTTCCTATACCGAATTCAGTTCCTGTCGTGCGGCTCTTCTCGTTATTCTTGCTGAAAGCTTGAATGTCGGAAAGTCACCAAAGCTTCGAGAAGGATTGAATCGTGGTATGGTGCTGATACGACAAATGATAGGAGGTACGGCTTCAGAATCAGAGACCTCATATATCGAGGCTATTGAAGTAGCCATTCGCAATTTATCATCGAAGGAAGACGAAATTACTAGCACGGATGTGAGCACGGAGCAGACTTCATCCTCTGCTTATGCCAGATTCAAGGACTGGACCCAATCTATGAAGAAGGATAGGGGTCCCGGCAGCCATGTGGAACTTTCGTCCTTCAGTCCTAAATTCAATATTTCGCCGGGGAGTGACGAAAGCGTGTTCCACAACGACATGCATGATATCGGAGATTTCTTCAATCCCGACTGGTCAGTTTGTGATGTGGTGCTCGATCCAGGGTCTTTGGAACATGAACTTCCTGCATTTAATATTCCCTAGGAGCTGTATATACATGAAAGGGTCAACCTTGAAGTTTCGCTAATCTTGTGTTAACCGAAAACAAGATATCGAGCACGTTTCAACCAGTTGGCCTTCTCGTTTGGCTTCTCTTGGGCCTGCTGCTCGGCCGCAATGGCATCAAGGCGCTCCTCCTCGTCGAAGAATCTTGCTTCCGAGAAGTCCATATCCTTTGCCTTGACAATGCTTGTCTTGTAATACCACTGGAAATTAAGTTAGCTATTGACTTCATTGAGCCCCCCAAGTCAGAAAATGAAGATTCAGGTACCTTGTAAGCAAAGTAATCGAAAACAAAGAGTGGAGCCGCGAGGTAACTTGCGAAGAAAGTTTTCACAGAACCCTTTTCACCAAATGGCCAGCAAGATAGATAAAACTCGCAGCCAAATATGAATGCAACTATCGTCAGGCTCAAATACTGTGCCCAGGGAGTTAGAAATCCTCTGAAAGGCAGAGTCCGGAGATCTTTTCCTTGTGCCTTCAAGCCTTGTCGGAACCGGAGGTGGGCGATGTAACAGGAGGACCACTCGAACAATGTAGCAATGGCAACCTGCAAATTTGTGAGCTTTCGGGTCTGCAGACTTCAAGTCTTTAATTCGGTTCTTACCAATGATGTAAACCAACCGTAGACAATAACACCGACACTATTGACGTTAAGATAACACAGCCCCCCACCCAGACCGAGACTAATGATCAGCGACACAAAAGGCCTTCCTTGTTTGTCTTTCCATCCGAAGAAGGGATGGATTATGTTCATGTCCGCCATAGCCGTCAAACTGCGGCTCGCGACGTAAACACTGGTAATTCCACAGCTTATGACACTTAAAAAGATAAACCCATTGATCGCGTGTGCCAACCCATATACCTCGGCTCTTTTGATAGCGATCACAAATGGGCTTCCCAACGTCCCCTCGGAATTCAAATCAGGATCGTCAGAAGGAACGCACATTCCAACCAGCCATATATTAACGACGAAGAAGGTAAACATGCGCCAAAATACCGGGCGCACAGTTTTCTTGATTGTATGTCTTGGGTTTGCGACTTCGCCCGCGATGACTGCGATATGCTCGCCTGTTGCTTCGTGTCAGTTGTACATTCTATTTTGCAAGTTTTGAATCACATACCTCCACCAAAGCTGAATGCAGCTTGCACAAAAGCCTTGCATATTCCCTTGATCCCATTGTTGAACGCGCCAGGGTTCTTCCAGTAGCGAAACTCAATTGGTCCGTTCGTCGCAGGAATTCCACCAGAGGTCATAATGAACATGAAGAATATCATCAATACCACGGCAAAGCACTTGATAAATGACATATAGTACTCGACAAATCCATAAATCCGTACGTGAAAGACATTTCCCAGAGCGATCACCACTAAAAATATTGTGATATACCCCGCCAAGGGAATCACGTCAGTCTGCGGCCAGTACTTTAGAACGGATACTGCGGCAGTAATTTCGGCCGGGATGATCATAACCCACTGTATGGTGTGAGTCAAGGGAATTCATTGTGTACGAGTATGTTCGTGGACACACTCACAGCAAACCAGAAGTTAACGCCGATTGCGAAGCCCCATGCTGGGTCCACATACTCGATGCATTGCCGGATAAATCCCCCATGGACTGGTTTGTATGTTGTCATTTCACCGATGGAAGAATATTGGGCGTAAACAATGATTCTAGAGAAGGCATTTAGCACAAGAATTGTAAGTATTTGAAGAAACATCTCACTTACGCAGTCAATGTATATGTCAAAGCAGTGCCAGCCGGGCCAGCTACGAAAGCCACCATCAGCATAAAGTGCCTCGAGGGCGGTTGAACCATGCCCGATGCAGGTATCCCATTAACTTACCATATAGTAGAGCCTGACCCGTTCCCACCCATAGCCCAGTCCCTATTCCAGCCCCAAACGTCATCATCATCACCTTGCGCCTGGTGAGGGATCGGTGGTATCCTGCAGACCCAACCGCAGAGATGTCCGAAGAGCTGCCATTATGGGTAGTGCCCGCAGTGGCTGTCCTTTCAATGTCAATCTCCACGTCTCCGGACCCTTTTGTATCCGCTTTCTCAGGGGCGATACTTTGACTGAGCGAAGTTTCACTGATTCTTGCCATTGGGGTAGCTGGCATAGTCTTTACAGGAATGACTTGGACAAAGCATGATTGCTATAACTACGTAGAATACATATATTATTTCGTTTGGGTGTCTCATGACTATCTCCTCCTCCTAAGGATCTCGAAAAGGTAAACCCCGCCCACCGGGTGTCTATCTATCTTCCCGCCGGGAGTGGAAGTGGAAGTGGAAGTGGAAGAGCGGGGTTGGATGAGATATGCTTTCTCCACCTTCGCAACCGGAGCTGGCGCCGAAACTTGAATGACTCTTATCCTCACCTGGCGACATGTTCCCCCTTGCCATCATTTAGTTTCTCACTGTTTCCTGGTTATCCGGCGGGTGACTCACAATCACTTACTTCAACCTGAAGCATAAATTGAACGTGTTTGCAATTGAATCAACTGATAAGAATCCCTGTCTCTATCATATTTACCCCAACCCAAATTCTACAACGGAGTATCTTCCCCACACCACAAAATGGCTTCTTCTAAGAACGTCGTTTTCGATATCGTCGGAACTCTTGTAACCTATGATTACCTCTACGACGCAATTGACCGCCGTCTTGGTGACCGGCTACGCGCAGAAGGTATCAAGCCATACATACTCGGTCAAATGTGGATGGAAACTTCCGAACGAGAGTATACCAACCTCAGTATATCCGGACAATATGCAGCATTCGGAGAAGTCTTCGAGGCCTTGTTCTATCGAATGCTGTGGATGTGTGGGGTCAAAGAACCCAGAAAGTTCGCCACGCCGGCAGACCTCGAGTACATCATGAGCGAGTACACTGGTCTCACCATGCGGCCTGGGGCGGCTGAGTGCGTGAAGAAGCTGCGTGATGCGGGATTCACGGTTTGGGCATTTACTGCAGGTGATCTCCGTCGCGTTGGTGGATACTTTGCGAAGGCGGGGATTGAGATGCCGACTCAACACTTGCTATCTTGTGATACTGCTGGAGTTGGCAAGCCGGATCTCGATGCTTATAGGCCCTTGCTGGGCAGGCTGATGGATGAGAATGAGGGCAAGAAGCCTTGGTTTGCCGCTGCGCATATGTGGGATGTGTCTGCTGCTCGTAGAACAGGGTATGTTATCTCGATACCACAATTTTCACGCTATTTTCTACTAATAAGAGAAATAAAAACAGATTCAAGGGCGCATATTGTACCGTCCTGGAGAATGAGCCGTTAACACAGCTGTTTGGAGAAATGGATGTCATTGATGATACTTTGCCGGGAATGGCTGACAAGATCATTGCTAGCCAGGCTGCATGAGGCACTGAAGATTGGAATTTTAGGCTTGACGGTCGAAGCACAAAGTTGAAATATTACTTGTAGAGACATCATTCTATTCCTTGAACGAATCTTGATATTAGAGTAGTTTCGATCTGAAATTCAATTTTTTCGAATCAAAATAGAACTCGAAACCACCACATGCTATCCATTTCTGCGCAATCAGTTCAGTTTTCGTACTACTCCGTTTACTCATGACGAGGATAGGTCGAATGAGGTATTTTCACTCTCACCTTTGCTAGTGATAACGATTGCGGGAATTGGTGATAACAAACGATGCATCCAGGGGTGCGTGCCCCGAGCGCCCCTGCCGAGCGCCGAGTGCCGAGCGTCCCACCGGTCCAACATTGCCGGCCCCGGCGGGAAGGCTACCGGTGGGTCAACTCCCCCGCCATTTCCATTTCCAAGGTTCCTTCTTCAACTACTAGTACTTTGTATACTGTTAAATGGAAATCAATTTCATCATCGATTTGAATCAAACACAGAATACTACGCTCAAGATGCCAGATAAACATATTCCTGTCCCAAACGGGATGCTCCCCTTCTGGAGGACGGAGCCCCACGTCCTGGATAACCATCGCTCGACTGAGAATCTCCCCGATAAATGCGATATTGTCATTGTTGGGGCAGGGTATGCCGGGGCTTCTATCGCCCATCATATTTTACGCCAAGTCAAGCCCGGCTCAAAGGCGCCTTCTATTACGATTTTGGAAGCCCGGCAAGCTTGCTCTGGGGCTACTGCTCGGAACGGTAAAATACAGTCCATGTCTCATGTACTTCAATTTACGGGGCATTTCTAACTTGGTAAAGGTGGACATGTCAAACCTGACATTTACAATTTTGTCTCAACTCTCGCCACAGAATATGGTTTTGACGCAGCAGCTGAAGTTGCAGACTTCGAGGCAAAACATGTTTATGCGATTAAGGAGTTTGTTGAGAAGGAGAAGGTCGATTGTGACTACACCGTAACCAAAGCGATTGACGTGCAATTGGACCCAAACCACTATAAGAAGTTGAAAAAAGGATTCCAGGAGCTCGTGACCAAGGGATGCGCTGCGACAAAGTTGGGCCAGTATGTTGATGCTGAGAATGCAGAAGCAGTGAGTTCTTTGTCGATCGATGTGTTCGCTCATGTCATACTGACTAGCTGTATAGTTCTCCGGTGTTAAGGGTGCGCTTGGGTGTTTCTCGTATGACTCGGGGCATATCTGGGCCTATAAGTTTGTCTTGCACCTGCTTGAGAAAGTTGTGTCCCAAGGAGTGAATCTGCAAACACACACCCCCGTGGCGAAGATCACCAAGTCGAATGTCTCTGCATCGACCCACTCATGGGTAGTTGATACTCAGCGGGGATCCGTTACTGCAAGAACTGTCGTGATGGCAACCAATGCCTATACCTCTACTCTTGTTCCTAAATACCAGGGCAAGATTGTTCCGGTGAGGGGCACATGCTGTCGCATTGCAGTTCCCCAGGGTCATCTGCACCCCGGTTGAAGAGCACCTACACTCTTCGCTGGGGTGGTTGGGAGTATGACTATTTAATTCCTCGAGGAGACGGATCGATTGTGGTCGGTGGTGCTCGGAAGGCATTTATTCACGATCTAAATAGCTGGTATAACGTGAGCGATGACAGTTACGTGCTGGAGCCTGCTGTTCGCTATTGGGATGGGTACATGCAACGCAATTTTGCCGGATGGGAAGATAGTAATGCCTATACCGATCGAGTATGGACCGGAAGTAGGTTCCCTCATACCCCAAACCAATTCGAGTTTCGGCTAATAAATGATCAGTAATGGGATATTCTTCAGATGGATTACCCCATGTCGGAACAGTGCCGGGAGAGCAAAATCAGTATATTCTAGCTGGGTTTACGGGACACGGCATGCCGCAAATTTTCTTAGCCGCGGAAGGGCTAGCCAAGATGATCATGAAAGGGGTGGCTTTTGAGGAGACGGGACTTCCTCAGCTGTTCAAAACAAGCCAGGCACGATTGAATGACTCGAAAAGCAAGATATTCGAACAGACGCCAAACTCGGGTCGCTCGGAAGCAAAACTCTGAGGAGTGATAAATTGACTATGGAATCCTTCCAGTTCATGCCTTCTCGGTTGGATAAATAAATCTCGTACTTTACGAAACCGGTGATGATAGTGCCTACTACGGTTATTTTCGGAAAAGGGTAGTATAAGAGGCTTCAATAAGCAAAATTAATCATACTGAAGATCATTTCTCTGCCTTGTGAGGCAAACTTTGAATAAAATCCCAGCACCGCAATTTGCATCTCCCAAAATAGTAATCTGATTTTGGTCTATTCCAAGTGGACTCAGTCACATCTTCATCTGGTATATGATAACCTTTAAGACGAAGGAAAGAGTCTAATGGGTTTATCTATACATCAATCAATATGGAGTGCGCATATAGATAGTTTTCACACGATTGAAATGTGTATACTAATTTATTGCGACCCAGTTTCGAGCTATTACGCATATTTCTAAAAGCATTACACAATCCAGGTAACGGAATATCCGAAAAAAGAAACTTCAATTCAATTAATTCAAGACAATACTAGCATAATATTTCATCTTGTTCCCCAATTCTGAAAAATCCAACACTAACCTACTCATCCAAACGACAGTTAACAGGGTAAAGACGTCCCGAGTTATCGTTCTGCGGCTCTTCACCCGGAGTCTGGATAGTAAGATTAAATGCAGAGACGGCATCACCATTGCCCATAACATCGCGAATAGGATAGAAATCGCCCGCAGTCAAGCTGACGGTGCCGCAGGAAACCGGGTTGTTGTAGTTGCCACCAGCAGAAGCAACATTCAAGGCCGGGGCATCAGGATCGGGATTTCCATTACCACAATCGAATGCAAGGCCGTCGCCAAGGTAGAAGTAGTCCGCATTATCGACCGAAACGCAGAATGTATACTCTCCTGTTGTAGGGGCGCGGTAGAAGCCTTGGTAAACGAGAGTGTAATTATTGGCGTTGACGACAATGCCGCCGTTCACTTCACGGGTATACCCGACGAAGTACTGCACACCGGGGTTGTTGGGATCGGGGTAGATGACTTCGAAACCCTTGTCTTGGATAACGTTGGTATAATCCTGTGGGATGTAGGTGATATTGGTGGTTGATAATTCCAAAGGAGATAGTCCATCGGTGATGTAGTACGAAGGTGGCAGTACCTCCTCTTCACCCTGGCCAGCTGTCGGGCTTGTATACCCATTGTAGCCGAACTGGTTGGCGTAATAGTCGATGTTCAATCCCGAGGGCGGGCAGTCAGGCTTAACGGGGCATGAAGTTGGTGGTGGGACTTCAGTGGTGACAATTGTCGCTGTACCACAGGTTGAAGATGCTGGGATGGTGATTTCGCCTGTTGCAGGCCCCGTGGTAGTGATGATGGTGGTCTCATCGGTGCAGGTTGTCACGATCACAGTGTCGGTTCCGCAAGATGTAGAAGCCGGCACAGTGGTTATACCTGGAGGCGACCCTGAAACAGTGATTCTGACCGTGGCATCAGTGCAGGGAGTCGTGGTGGTGGTGGACGTAGTAGACGTAGTAGTAGTGGTTGTTGTTGTTGTAGTCGTCGTGCTACTCGAAGTAGTACTGGAAGTACTCGAAGTTGTCGAAGTGCTCGATGTAGTGGGAGCACTTGAGGTAGTCGATGTACTTGAAGTAGTTGGCACGCTCGAGGTAGTCGACGAAGTTGAACAAGATGTCGAAGTCGGAGTAGCTGTCGTGGTCGTAGTCGAGCAAGAAGTAGACGTCCAGTCATGATTCCAATCAGACCCTCCACCTGGTGCTTCTACAGCGATGCCATTGATATTGTCCTGCTCCTTGTTGATGGCACGGTCCTGGCCTTGAACCAAGGCCACGAAGCTGCCAAGAGCCACCAAGAGTGGGTGCTTTTATATTGTTTTTTTGTTATCGCTCGTGCTTGAGTTGATGGCCTGGATTACTCGTAATCGATCTGAAGGATCTGAAGAATAAAACGACAATCGAATAGAATGCCAGGCGTTTCTTAGAATCTCGCCTTTTATACAAGAGCAAGCATATAGATCCGGCTCCTTTCAAGCACTTGCAGATTGGAAGTCTTTCACATTCCACAGGCCTATCTTAAAGCTACGTTGTTGATCCATTCCCGATTAAGCATCGTGGCATTCCTGCCCAATTCCAAATTCGTACGTTTTGCTTTCTCCTATGATCTGAGTGGTTAAAATACTCCGGACCTTTGTTCCTTGAGGAATCTATCTTGTTCCATTATCAAGGACGAAACCAAACTCTCCTGTCAACTTCCAAATCATCATCGCTGGAAATCCACCGTGACGTGCTACTAACTTCCCCAAAATGTGCAAAACGTTTGCGTATGGCGCAGGAAGCTAAGATAGGCTTTAGTTTTTATATCGATATCTACGAACACTTTTATTTCAGCTTCCGCCAGTGGTATTGTAACGTCGTAGGCCAAAACTGGCAGGTTGAGCCTGTTCCAAGGTTTCGGATGGTCTGGAAGATACTATATTGCATTCGTGGAGGCGGCCGGGAAGAAACGCCACAAGAGCGACAGGCTCAAGCCACATTGATATTCATACTTTGGCGCTTTTTACGCTTATCATGTGGCGTATTCCCAGCGTGAGGCTGTTTCTATCGCGCAATTCTAGCTATACACTGCATAGTCAATTGACCAAGACTCGGCCACGTATTCGGGCAAAATTTCTTATTTTGTGTGGTCGGGCGAACGGTCGAACGTTGACCTCCATGCACCACATCAGCGAATAAATCGAAATAAAAAATTCTGAAATTTCCGTATTGGGCCCTGCCATAGAACAATGCTCATATGCTCTGCTGTTAGCAGCCTTAACGGATTATGAGACCAACTTCAGACGAAGTTTTACATGAGCAAGTACAGGCGTATCGATTGAAACCGGCAACAGGTCTCTCAATCGGCGAGAATAATCAGAGTTCAGGTGTACCAGAGCAGAGTATTAAAATCCCGATAAAATAATAGAACTGAAGTTCGATAGGAGTACGTGATCATTAGAGACGTGCGTAGGAATAAGAAAGTACACTTGAAATCCACACGCCCCGGCTATGTATTCTCGAAAGAGCAGATGACATCGGGTCCGGACTTTCTCTACTTTCGATGGGCATGCAAATGAAATATAAAGGGCGCAATATTACCGGTCGGTCATTCGTTTTCTCTCAATGATTGTCCCTGTACGCCTTTAGCGGCTGCCGGCGGTATACATAGGCGAATTCTCCTTCCAATGTTCTTGTCCCGGTATTTGCTTATTCGGCATCCCTTGCTCTTCCTTCCATTCATTGAACGTACCGACCCACAATACCATCCTTCATCGATTTTTTGTCCTTCGAAATAAGGGGTAACTTTTCGAGAGATCGGAGATGCTAATTTCTCACAAACCTTCTTCTACCGTCATAATTTGAAGGGCACTACCACTATCTGGACTCGCGGCCGAACCGCTGAACGGCCAGCGACATAGCCCTATAGCCCTCCGCGTCTCGATCTATTCAACTGCCAGCCCACCCGTGGATCCTATCCATATTTTGGAGCAGTTGAAAAGTCCCTGGGGTGAGGGATCATGATGTCGACAGGTTCCAGCCAGCCAATTAGTATCCAGACTCATGGCATTTCAACCTACACAGTTCGACGACCTTTCTTCAGACCTGGCAGAAGGCTGATTAGTCGATTAAAGGGTATTTCCCCACACTACGCCCTTCGAACCATCTTGGATGGTATCAAGGTATCGATACCCGGAGGTCAACTGACTGCGATAATGGGCGGTAGTGGTTCGGGAAAAACGACATTGCTCAATATATTAGCAGGTCGAAACTGTGGGGGCTCTCTCGAAACCTCGGGTCATGTGGACTACAGTGATCAGAGGACTGTGACCGCATCGAGGAATGCATATGTAACTCAGGATGATATTTTGCCTCATAATCTGACTGTGCGAGAAACGCTGAATTATGCGGCTGAGCTTCGAGTGGATTGGGAGAGCGTTGATCAACAATGCTGCTGTTGAGAAACTGCTTATGCAGCTCAGTCTAACGCGGTGTGCTGATTCCAGGATTGTGAAAGAAGGCGAAGGTGGATGCAGTGGTGGTGAGAAGAGGCGTGTCAGCGTCGCTATTCAATTGTTGACCAATTGTTCCATCTTGTTCTGTGATGAACCAACAACAGGTACGCAGGACTCATGGTTGTTGATACGGGCTGGTGGATAACATTCCTAGGTCTTGATGCAGCGACTGCGCTTCAGGTAGTTCAAGTATTGAAGGACCTGACCGTTGTGGGTATCACCGTGGTCATGTCGATCCATGCTCCGCGATCGGATATATGGAACCAATTTGATCATGTTATCCTATTGTCATCCGGAAGTCTCATGTACGAGGGTCCCAAGGATGGAGCAACTCGCCATTTTGAAAGGTGTGAGTATGCAATGCCCGCCTTTTTCAATCCCGCCGAGTTCATCATCGATATCACCTCCGATAAGTCTCGCGTCGGGGACATGAAAGCACAATTTGCAGAGACTGTGGAGATGATTCCAAGTGAACAGAGCTCTCCTCGTGTTCAGAACGCTCCTTTGGCATCTCGGAAATTGCCCAGCTCACGGAAACGCTGTCAGGTCCTAACAAAACGGACTATGAAGATGTGCACCAGGGATGCTCGATTCCTTGTTGGTATCGGATGCACAGTTGGGGCCTTGGCTATCGTCAACGGTTGGATCTTCTGGCAACTCGATGAAACGCAAAGAGGGATACGCTCCCGGCAAGGGAGTCTTTGGGTTGCGACAGGGCTCTATGGATATTTGTTGCTGATCAGCGAAATTTGCCGCCTCATCGAAGACATCCGACTATTTGATCATGAAAGAAGAGACGGAATTACTAGCTCATCTGCGTTTCTGTTTAGCCGGAGAATAGTGAAACTGACTTGGGAAGATCTGAGTCTACCTACGATTTTCACAGCGATCTACTATCCCATGGTTGGTTACCGCGCCAATGCGGCCCAGTTTTTTATGTTCTGGCTCATCATGGTTTTGACACATGCAGTCTCTACCGGTGTTGCAACTCTATCTGTTGCAATCACCAGAAACTTCTATGGGGCGGGGCTTATGGGAAACATCTACTTCACGCTCTAAACAGCAGCTTCGGGATATTTTATGCAGGTGAACCAGGTCCCAGCATATGTTAAATGGCTCCGATGGCTGACGCCTACTTTCTATACTTTCAACGCTCTTTGGATTAATGAATTTTTCGGCCTCGATCACTCAAAGTATGGATACCTCTATGACTGTCCCTTCAATGATATCCATGATACACGCTGCAAAGAGTACACTGGAGCGTTCATCATGGATAGCACCGGTCTACTAAATAACGGTATTTGGAAACAAATCGCCGTCCTTTGCCTTATTGTTGTCATCACACATGGTTCTGCTTTCCTAGTTCTTCATTTCAAAAGAGCCAAGCAGCATGTGCAACAAGTGGAGCGACCATCGGGAAAGGAGCTGTTAATCCCAGATTCGAGCGGACCTTTTGCTCTGTCAAACCAGAGTGCTACACTTTCATTACAGGAATATTCCCTTCAATTGAGAAAGCGAAGTTTGACTTGGAGAGGATGGACTGAAACGAAATGTCCAATAGTCGGCCCGGTGTCTTCAAGTTTTCGACCCGGGGGCTTAAATGTGATCATGGGAGCATCGGGAAGCGGAAAGACATCGCTTTTAGCCACCTTGGCCAGCAAATTGTCTTCGTCTTTCCGTTGCCGCTGGAATATAGCAGGGCGTATCGCATACGGAGGTGCCCGAATAGGGATGCAAACGCCCCGTTCGCTTGTTTCATACGTCCCCCAAGATGACCAAAATCTACTTCCAGCACTAACTGTCCGCGAAACATTGTATTTTGCTGCCGAGTTGGAACTTGCCAAGTCCACGACCCCCGCCCAAAGGGCCGCGCGCGTCAGAAGCATCATTACGAGATTTGGATTGGACGATTGTGCGGATACCCTCGTTGGAAATGCCTTAAGACGGGGTATAAGTGGGGGTGAAAAGCGACGACTTTCGATTGCTTGTAAACTCCTGACTCTTCCCCAGGTTGTGATCTTGGATGAGCCAACCTCTGGGCTGGACACGTATATGGCTTCCTCGATCATGGAATTCCTTCATGGTCTATCGGTCGAAGGGTGCACCATCATTTTATCCATTCACCAGCCCACATCGGCAATGTGGTCACTTTTTTCGACCTGTTTGCTACTCACCCAAAACGGCTTGCCGGCTTTCTCAGGTGAGGTATCAGAGATGTTACCTTATTTTAGCCAAGCCGGGTATGATTGTCCGATCAATATGAATCCAGCTGACTTCTTCATCGACATTGCCACCCCTCGATTTGTGGGGAGCGAAAGTAGCAGGGTTGAGGGAAAGCGAGTAGAAGACCTCACTTCTCGTTGGGCGGAATATCAATCCAAACATCCAAGCATAAACCAGCGCATTGGTTTATCTGATAATTCTTTGGATAACAATCTCGCTTTGCAGAAGCCCTATGTGCAATGTTCTTTCATTTCTGCCACGCCAATTCTTTTCCATCGTGCTTCGTTGAACATGCTCCGCAGTCCATTGTCTTTACTCGCTCGTTTAATTCAATGTCCGGGTGTGGGTATTATTTGGACATTGTTTGCTGCGCCGTTGAAGAAAGATTATTACTCGGTGCAGACTCGGATGGGTTTCATTCAGCAGTATGCCCCTTTGGCATTTATCGGTATGAAACTGCGTTGAATTTCCAATTAAAATGGAAATACGATTGACTAATTGCATTTCTGTCACAGGAATGCTTCAGAATATCGCGACATTTCCAATCGAACGAGATCTCTTCTATCACGAATTTTCGGAACGTCTCTACGGACCCGCTGCCTTTCTCGCCCAGTACACTGCCCTCGAACTGCCGATGGAAATTATCTCTGCAATCATTTTCGCCCTTCTCGTCGCCTATGCAGCGCAATTAGGGCCCACGGCAACAGAATTCGGCGTTTGCTTTCTAAATGCTCTTTGCGTGCTGAACAGTGGCGAGTCTCTGAGTATGATTTCAGCGATCATCTTTTCTAATTTGGGACTCGCGGTCAATTTGACATCAGCGCTGCTTGGCATATTTACTGCCCTTGGAGGAACAATGAGTTTAGAGCCACCGCGTATTCTCCAGTGGTTTAATCACCTTTCTCCGATCAAGTATGCCATTTCCAATGTTTCCTACTATTGTTTGCGTGGGCTTGTCTTGGACTGCACCGATGAACAGCGAAAGGCGGATGGCTCATGTCCTATACAGCGCGGGGAGGAAATTCTGGGCTTATACAATTTGAGTACCGAGCGACCGTGGGTTGATCTCCTAGCTGGAGTTCTACTTATGGTTGGCCTGAGGTTAGTGGTGTTTGTGATATTGAAATTGAAGGTCTCACGTTAGGCGGGTGAATGGGATAGGAGGACACCGGCTATTTCAGAAGGTTTTCAAGATTATGCCAAAGTTAGATACTGCCAGTGATGAATGACCCCAGAAGCCAAGACATTGAAGCCGATCATGATGATGAGTCCGGGCTGCTCTAGGCCAAGGTCGCAGTATTAGTTGACGGGTTTCAGCCCTATTGTACATACTAGTAGATATCCGCGAAAGCTATGGCTTCCTGTTTCTTTTTGTTTTATGATCGACGATCATTATTAAATACTGACGCATCACGCCTTGGCCAGGGAAGATAGAGTGGCCATCGCGTCATTAAATTAAGTCATGGTGATATATAGCGAGCTTACCCCAGGTCGGTGAGACGGCCGATGCATGCACATCCCCTGCACGGGGCCCACATGGAAAGATCGGAAGCCAATAATTCCGAGCAAGGTGACTTAGGTGAGACTGATGATCGCAGCGTGTGTTTGGATCAGACTTTTCAAAGCAACGGCAGAGGAGTAACAGAGCAATGGCAGAGCAATGGCAGAGCAATGACAATTCAATGATTGAAGGAAAGAGGAGAAGCTGTGGAGGCAGGTCTTGGCGGGTCTTGGCAACAAACGTCAGTCAGCCCGCCGATTGTGTGATCCACGTGATCCACTTACTCCACACTCCATACAAGTATGAGTGCTCGTATTCAATTATACTATTAGTATTCTAGATTATGACATCCTAAGTAATTTGGATATAGATACGGAGTAGACCTCCTGAATATGATAGTGTAGATAGTGGACATGGATATGGATACACTAGACTGTGTCCTGCACGTTAATTACTCCTCCTCCTCCTCCTCCTCCTCCCGATTATCATTTCCCTCGTATATCATGCATGATCGACATGGCGTGCTTCTAATAAGATGGCGCGATTGGACCCGCTCTGCACCTCTTTTTCGAGCTTTTGGCCTTTGCTTCCCAAATCTGTCCCGGTTGAGTTCAAGCTGCCGTATATCATGGCCCCTCACCCTCGCACTCGGCCAGCTCGCTGCTTGCCCTCTGTTTCCCCGACGCATTCCTCGCCATGGGTGCCACCGACTCCGAGATGACTCTACCCAAGACCGAGCAGGATATCATTCCCGATTCCATGCGTTACGAATACGACCCCTGGCTCCTCGATGATCACCCACTCCGCTCGCATCCTACCGTTTGTATCCCGGGTCTAGGCACCTTCATCGCCGAATGGTACGCCTCAGTCGAGCGCCGCTGGAAGGATGGCCTCTTCCGAGTGGGATGCATTCTCCTCGCTTGTTTGTGAGTTGCCAATTTCAAATCGATATCAAACCGATACTCGTCCCGTCTTCCCGACCTTCTTTTGCTCATATACCGACTTTCCAGTGCGGCATTTAAGTGTTTACAAGCACTCCCCTCGGTTGGAGGCAAGGGCACAACCCATCCAACCCCCCTCACCCACCACAGCACACGCGACTGGCACTTTACCTGCACATTCCCCAATCCTGATCCCCGTGCCACCGCCCTTGCGCAATCTGCTGTCGCCGGATGCGAAGGTTTCCGCACCGACATTTGGCTGCATGGCAACGAGCTGCAGATGGGCCCATCCGATGCCGGCCCAAAGGCTATCAATGACATGCAGAACCGCCTCGATTCGCTCGTTACCAAGCTAGGCCCTCGAGATCTTTCAATTTCCACCGATATTCAGATGCCCATGAACACGGAATCCGAAGCGGAATCTCTCCATGAGGTCGAGGAAGAGGAGACGTCCCACTCTTTCTGGCTCGTTCTGGACCCACAATCATCGCTCCAGGAGCTGTATCCGTATCTGGTCTCCCATCTAGATCTGCTCCGTCAGCGTGGTCTTTTGAGTCACTGGAACGGTGCACGCGTGGTGCAGCGTCCATTCACAGTTGTCGTGGCTAGTGAATCTCTTCCCCGGTCGGATTGTGCCGACCATCCTTACACCGATATCTTCTGGGCCTCCAGCGAAGACACTTCTTCGTGGAATGATAGATCGCATGACCATCTCATCCCAATCTGTGCCGTTTGAGAAAGGCGCCGAAGTGTTGTATTTTTTTGTATTCCTCTTGTCTATCTTCAGCTCATGATACCCACCATGCCAATGCCAATGATCATAATTTCACTTCTGTTGTAAGCAGGCTGTAAATTTCTTCCAACATGACTTGAGGCCACACCCTGGTCTGGTCTCGTCTATTCCATCCTGGATGTTCATGTAGTTCTCGTTAGGGTCGCTTCAGTGCAACCTATGCGGGTGCCACGTCACGAGGGGGTGGGCAGATCTCCAGGTGGTCCGTGGTGAGAAAAAGGATTTTCGTCAGGGTGCATCAACGGCTACGGAGGAAGCAGAACATGGGGAGAAGGGAGAGTCAATCTGCTGTGCTGCCTGACATGCGTCAGGTAGAAGTACCGCATGTCGATGAAAATCCTGGTGTCACCACCTGGGCTAGGGGTAATTTGGGTAACTTGGGCAGGGAAAGAGAAAAGAGAGACAGAGAAAAGAGAGACAGAGAAAAAGAAAAGAAAGAGAGAAGAAAAGCAAAAAGTAACAGTGTACATACGTAATGTACATATCCAACTGGTAAATAGACCAGGGCCACAGCGTTTGCGTAAGTGATTCACGCTGTGATCCGATCTCCACATGCAAGATACAGTCTTGGCCCGCCCCATCGCGCTAAACAGACTCACCGTTTTTTCTCCGGCTTTATCTCTCTGTTTCTTCCATATCCCTATCTCCTCCTTTTCTGGCAACTCTGACATCCAAAATCTAGAGACCACCAAGCACCCCTGTTGAAAGGATAGACACATCACATCGCATCGTTTCGCTTGTGGCTCTTCTGGCATCTTCTTCTCCGCACTGCCCAGCCCGCACCAAGTCCGACGGGGTTTGGCCCGCGGGATCAACCGCTGATCCTCCGTCACTTTGTCTTGTTGGGGGCTTTTTTTCCCTTCACCCACTGCCATTCAGCTTGTCGCGCCCCATCTCTCCCTTCGCAATACCATCAATAACCTCCCGACCCCCTATCTCACCCACTGCGAAGCGCTCATCGCTCGGCGCCGCTCAGCATGGACTTCTTCCGCCGTCTCCATCAGAGCTACCCGCCTCGGCCTTCCCCCCTGAGCAACTCCCAAGAGTCGCGCGATGATCGTGATCGGCCCCGATCCCACGCTTCCTCCTCTTCCACGGCCGCTGCCGCGGCTGCAACTGCAACTGCGTCCACAACCGCCTCTACGGTCGGCGCCAACGAATCTCGCAATCGACCAGACGATAAGATTCGGCTAGGCAGCCGATACGAATACCCACCCCCGAGTTCGTCGCATCCGCATCCATACGGAACCAGTTCACGCGGGTCGAATCGTCTTCGCCGGGAGACAACCGGCACACACATTTCCCCACCACGGAACCAGGCGCAGCAATCACATCGACGCCATGCCAGTCTGGAAACGAGACAGCAGGGGCACGTGCATCGGCGGAATCATTCCCAGCCTCAGACAGGCAATATAAGAGAAGGTAGGTGATTTTCGTTTTCTGTTCACTTCTTGTTTCACCGGTGTTTGGTCCCCGGATTCGCAGTTGGGGGGGTCGGACCTGTCCCGTGGTTCTCGTCTCGGCTGCTCTCCCCACAGTCACCATCACTCAGCTTGTGCTCTCCGATACCTCATATGGTTTGGCTGCGTCGGAGTGTCTTCTGGCATGCTTTGCATTGTATATGGAGTGTAGGTACAGGGGAAAGCGTCTGTCGCGTGGAGAGGATGGAGTGTATGATATGCTCCATCGCACTTGCCCAGCCACTCCCCCCTGCGTGTCTTCCCCAGTGGCGCAGATCCGCCGCTCGGGAACGCTAGTCTCCATTTTGACTAGCGCCAGGTCTCCCCTTTCGGGCCTAGCGGCCCTGCCGAGCTCCCGGAGTCACGGGGTCTCTGCTTCTGCTTCTGCCCTCTGCGCTTGCGTCGGGATCCACGTGAATTCATCCCGACTGCCCCCTTGATCGAATGGTGGTAGTCGCAATGAATCACCAACCCCCAGACCCTGCGCGCAGTGCTTCTCACGGCAGTAGTGGTAGCCCTGTGCACTCCGGTGAGTTCGATGGTGGACGCGCCAACTGCACGATGCAGTGATCCGCCGCATCACGTCAGATAGGAACACGATTCGCAACTTGTCTCGATTCCTTGGTGTTTTGCGGTCTCCAGCCTCTGAGCAAAGAAAGAATATCCAAAAATTAAAAGATACCCATAACTAACCACCTCTCCTTCTATTAGCGCAAGAGCAATCTGCACCACCGGCCTTTGGGATTCGCCAGATGCCACCCCCATCTCCTCCGCACGCGTATTCCTCGCGATCACAGTCCGCCAACGCGCCCGCATCATCACTATTCTCTCGCGAGCCGCCTGGCGGCTACGGCCATCGCCCTGGGAGCAGTATGTCGATCTCCTCGATGCTCGGCTCCGACCCAGAACGCCCAGCTCGCGATTCCGGCTCTCTATTTTCACGGCCATCACCTGTCTTTGGTAATGCGCCAACCCCCGCCTCTGCTGCCATGTCGCCACCCTCTGCGCCAACACGCCAATCGCCTCTCGATCAATCCCTCTTCCGTCGATCGCATACCCCCGAAAAGTCCTTCTCCAAACCGCCGCTAGGCCGACCTTATCGATCGGGCTCGGGAGGCGGCTCGAGTTTGCTCGGTGATTCGTCAAAGTATGGAGGACTGTCGCGAGCGTCACACTCGCAATATCCAGAGAAGCCCCATTCAACACATCCCTCACCCAAGGTTTCCCCGGCCGAATCTCCTTACAGTGAGCCCCGTCGGATGAGCTTTAGTGGTCCGATCGCCCGCTCCAACAGCCAGCCACCCAACGCCGATACAGCTACACGACCTCCGGGCTATAGTCCAATCTCGCGCCCTGGCGGAGGTGTGGGAGATCGACTATCTTATGGCGGCATCGATCTACACACTCGAGATCATAGTAGGGAACAGGCTCGCTTCGGCAGTCTGTATG